AGTGGACAGCTCAGCACTCTGCCAGTGTGGGCAGAGATACAGAGCTTGGTTGTGAGCTTGGTTACAAAGGTCTGTGATGCAACTTGGGAAGCCAGGAAGAGCCAGGAGCCACATAATGGTTCCAGGAGAGCTCATTGTCCTGGCTGTGCAATTGCAACACTGGCACAGGAACTAGAAATGTTGCAGATGACAGGCTGTGGCAGGTCACAGGGAGCATACAGATCTTAAAGCCAAGACTGCATTGAGTTTGGACAAATCAACAGACACTAGTCATTTCATCTAATTATACTCATTGGATTTCTAGTGCAGAACTTTCTGGAAGAGTTTTTCATGTCCTATGTTGGAGTATCTGAATGACACTTGATATGGCCAGAGAACACATGCGTGCCTGCACACACAACCTTGCAGGTGTCCTGTAGGTCTGTGTACCCAGTGAGCCCCTTTCCTGTGACTCCCAAGAGGTGAGAGTGAAGATAACTGTTAAGCTCCTGGCTTGGGAATGTGCTAACTGCTGGACCCTAGAAGCTGAGGGATGCAAATCCTCCAGTGCTCCAGCAACCAAAACCATCACGAGGCTCGCCCAGGAGCGAACCCGCAGCAGGCTCGCCAGGCTGCAGGGCAGCTGATGATGCCAGGACACTTCGCGGCCTCCTGAAGCTGCAGGTGCTGGAGAGAACCCTCCTGTAAATGGAGGATATGTGGAGGAAAGCTGCAAAGCTCAGCTGCTCCCAGGACGTACACATGGTGGTCACTCATGTTCCAGTTTTTATAGATCAGGCAGCGTGCTCAGCTGTATCAGAAACGGTGTCTGGCTTGCTAATAGGCAGTTTAAGGGGAGATAAAGATGTGTTTTGGATCATCCTGAGTTGAAAGTGTCATTGAGAATTTTGAAAAGTAGTAACATAAACTTCCTAGAAACATTCTGTGAAAGTCAGAGATTGCAGGCACTTTGGTCAGTGACAGTAGAGCTGAAGATGGAGCTCTCCAGGAAGCCAGTGAGATGCCAGATGTCCTGTGCCCACCTCCAGGAGCAGCTGCACGTCAGTGTTTCTCAGTGGATAACACAGAAGCCTCAGCTGATGGTCCTATGAATACCCCTCTGTCTGAAGTCCTGACTAACCTCCATGCACCTCCTTGCTGGTGAGACCTGGTTGTTTCTCATCACTGGAGGCCTGGGAAGAGGGCACTGCACAGTTTTAGCAAGAGGTGGACATGGTGGAGAATGGGATTTCGACAGCCATCATGTCTCAGTTGCATCTGAAAGCCAAAATGTATTTCTCTCCTGGAAGGCAAAGGCACTTCCAGTGGACCTGGCCACTTGCTTCCACAGCCACCTTGTTAAAGAAACAAAGATACGGGGTGAGTGTAATAGGTAAAGGCCCCTGCAGGGCCAGCATCCCGTACGGGCACTGAGCCAGCTCCCTGCTGATGCACCTGGGAAAGCACTGGAAGATGGCCCACGTGCCTGGGCCCCTGCACCCACATGGAAGCCCGCAGTGAAGCTCCTGGCTTCAGCCTGGCCCAGTCCTGTTGGTGACCCGGGGGAATGAACCAGCAAATGGCAGACCTTTCTGTCTCCACGCCCTTCTCCTTGACTTGAAAATAGGTGAATTAAAAGATAGTAGAACTAATCAAAATGATAGGTGTGCAGGCAGTCCTTCCTAGCACAGAAGATAGCTTAGCCACGATTTAGTGCCATCTTGTGGATGCTTGACGAATCACAACGGAATTTTGCATTTGAGGTTTTAAATGACAAGGCTTTTTTTTTTTTTTTAATTTACTTTATCAGAAAGTCCAATATATAGAGAGGAGACAGAAATATGTTCCGTCCAATGATTCACTCCCCAAGTTGCTGCACTGATACAAAGCCGAAGCCAGAAGCTCTTCCAGGTCTCCCACATGGGTGCTGGGTCGCAAGGCCACAAGCAGGGAGCTAGATGGGAAGGGGGGCTGTCAGGATTAGAACCGATGCCCATATGCGATCCCAGCACATTCAAGGTGAGGACTTTAACCACTATGCTGTTGTGGCAGGGAAACTATTGTTTCCTAAAGTGGCTGCCCCATTTGGGTCGCTGATGCTTTGTTCCTGGTAGGACGCTACTTGGAATTCAGTGAGGCTTTCCTCAATTATAGCGGTAGTGTGACTGTAGAAATCACTTGGAATGTTGAAAATAACTACCAACCACTGTGACTCCGATGCTTAGTTTATTTCTAGAGTTTAACATACAGAACCTTGTTAGATTAGGTTCATCAGTTCATGTCTTCCCGTGCAGACCTGCAGTGTCCTCCGAGGACCCGTGTGCTGTGACAGTATCTCCCAGGACCCTGGGGAGGCACAGAGCTGCGCCTGAGGCTGCTGTGCTGGGTCCTTGGATCCTGTGCAGATTGCAGCCCATACGCTAGGAGCTGCAGACTCAGCCTGGTAGAACAAAGTTCCCATACGTGTTTGGGTTAATGTGAATTTAAATCTCTTTTAAAGCACTCACTGAGAATGACCGGGACAGCCAGTCGCCTTTGAAGAACCCGCTGCTGTCAACATCAAGACCCCTGGTTTTTGGGAAGTCCAATGGCAAGTACTACTTTTGACCAGCCTGCACCTGGGCTGCCCCTCCCTTCCCTCCCAGGATCTGCCCCCACCGAGCTGGCTGCCTGCAGAGGTGTTATGCTCCTTCCACTTGAACACCCCCCATGTACTCCCCCTTCCTGCCCATTTCTCCGCTTGCTTTCACGGTGTTTACATTTCATTCATTTCAAGGTGATGCAGCCGACTATCAGAAGCAGCTGAAGCAGATGATCAAGGACTTGGCCAAAGAAAAAGATAAAACTGAGAAAGAGCTGCCCAAAATGAGCCAGGTACTAACTTTGACCATTCACCCTGGACCCCCCTCTTCACTCCAAAGCCCATCTTATAACTCAGGCTGGGCACGTTAAGTCTAATGGGGGGGGGGGGGGTGGTTACTGCAGCTGGCTAGCCACTCCAAGCCCTTACTGAGAGGATTAATACAGAGGTGGTATCCTTTCTATGTCAGAATCACCCAGGTCAAGTGTCCAAGGCAGCTATGGATTTAGCACTCTTAAGTTATAGGATACATTCCTATCTATACGGGAGGGCTTACCTCGGCTCTTGCTGGCTGATCACTGCCTGGATCATGTCCTGCCACTGCTAGCATGTTTCCTTATTGTCTGCAGCAGCACATGGTGACAGCCTATGCTCTGTCCCCCTCCCCTCCAAGATCCCAGACTTAGTCACAAGCCCCAAGGATGGTCCCATCACTGTGACCCAGACAGGCCACACCAACATCGTTTTGCTCTACTTTGGACCAGTCAACAGTGCTTACAAAATTTCCAATAACTGAATGTAGCTAATCCTCTGAAGCACCTCGTCACATTAACATGGACCCTCCTTTGGAAGGGGCGTGTGTTTGGGGGACCATAAAGCATTTAGTTCACCCGTTCCTGCCATAATCATCTTAATGAAGGATATCCAGATTTCTTGGTAATGTGACCTGGTTGGCACTGTCCCATAGGGTTGCCTGTCCACACGTTTCTCATACACATTTGTTCTCATTTCAGAGAGAGTTTATCCAGTTCTGTAAAACTTTGTACAGCCTTTTCCACGAGGACCCAGAAGAGAACCACCTGTACCAGGCCATCGCCACGGTCACCACTCTGCTGCTGCAGATTGGAGAAGTGGGCCAGAGCAGCAGCAGCTCCGGGAGCTGCTCCCAGGAGTGCGGGGACGAGCTCCTCGGGGCTGGGGCGCCTTCCCCGGAGGACTCGGTGTTTCCCGAGGTGGACTCCAGGGCATTCCCAGAGACGTCAGAAGGGGACTGGACGGTCTCCCTCGAACACATCCTGGCATCACTTCTGACTGAACAGTCATTGGTCAACTTTTTTGAAAAGCCGCTGGACATTAAATCCAAACTTGAAAATGCCAAGATCAATCAGTACAGTCTCAAGACTTTTGAAATGAGCCACCAGTCACAGGCCGAGTTCAAGCTGAGTAACCTGTAGCAAGTTACACTGGAGCCTGCTGTACCAAAGCAGAGCAGCCTGCGGCGGCACCCGCCCCTGTGCACACTGCCCTGGCAGGGTGTGGCCAAGCAGCCGGCAGCTGTGGCTGGAGAGCTGAAGCCCCACAGCCTTTCTATTTATTCTGAGAACAGATTCCTCAATGCTGTGACTCCACTTCCCTGCTGGCAGATTTGCTGAACTGGGCTTGTCTCTTGGGGCTAGTGTGACTTTTTTTTTTTAATTGCTGGGTGAAACCCACAATTCAGAGTTGTCTCATTAACCCAGAGTAAAAGCCCCGGGCTCTCGTTTTTCATTTGGAACAATGAGACCCCCAGAATGAGGTTTGCCTTTAAGAAAGTAAGAGCCACCTCTCTGTGCAATTGTATTTGACTTTTTTGCACTAATTTTGTTTCAATGCTGGTAATTGAAACCATTTGAATATTTGGTTGTTATCACTTTGTATGTCCTTCCAAAAAGTGTACAAACCATGCTTTTCAATATTGGCCTCCAAGTTTTTCTAATAAGACTTTTTTGCATTGAGCTCTCTTTACGTCATGCTTGTCTTACAGTGCAGACAGTGCCAGTTAACGGGCAGAGCTGGAGACGCTCCAGGTGGCTGACCGCGGGGGCCAGGCACTGCAGTCGTTACTAAGGCTCCTCGGGACAGCACTGCTGGGATCCAATTCCGGCCAGCACCCTGCTCACCTAGCCCTTTACACCTCAGCAGTTTAGCGCCAAGTAGCCGAGATGTTTTCAACTCACAGGTCTTAAAATGTGTTGCAATCGAAATCCTCATCTTAAAAAAAATTAGCTTAGACTCCATGGAACCGTGCAAGTAAAAGCATCAGCCTCACTCCTTCCATGTCAGACCCTCACTGTCCAAGACAGGAACCCCTACTTGGGAAAGTATTTCCACATGAGGTCATAACCGTAACTGGGTACTGCTTTAAGGCAGACAAGCACACACAATACTGCTAGGAAAGAAGGGCAGTCTTACAACTTTATTTAGTTCTCATCCACATTGACAGTCTGTAGATCTGAAAGGAAAAAAAAAAGTAACCTTAGAACCTTTCAGTGTCTCCATGCACACGTTAGCCGGTCCCTGAACACCCCAAACCGTTTCTACAAGGGCTCTGCTGTCCCGCTCTACAAGCTAAACGGACTTGTCTGTTCCCATAGCAACATCTGACTATGCCGGTGACGTTCCCCTGCCGCGTTACCAGGCATTAAAGGTGCCCAAAGGTCAGACTGGACCAGATGCCTAATAAAAGGGTTGAATCCTCTTTCCATTCCAGAAGGCTCGTCGTCGTAGGAGACTTACTTTTGAAAGTGGTGACAGGCACGTAGGTAACCAGAGTATAGAGCTTGTTGGGTGAATCTTCATCCTCGTTCCGCTTCCTGGACAGCCTCACGCGGATGCGGTACGGGACGTTCCTGACAAACACGTGCCAGCAAAGTCAGTGTCAGCCTCCACGGCGGGCAGCTGCACCCACACAGCCCAGCCCGCTTCTACTGCTGTCCTCACACATCAACTGGCCACTCTAACCCCCTGGGACACAACCACATCCCAGGACAGGCCTGTTCAGGTTAAAGCAGCCGTCACTGCTGCCCAACCCATTGAGCACAGATGCGAGTCCAACTGAACTAGGTCTTTCCCCCCCTTTATTAGGGCCAAGTTTCCTAGTAAATATCAAATTCCCCAAATCGGTTTTGTCTGCTACATCACATACACCCCATGTCTGCAGGACTGGTGCCACCTCCTTGGGACACTTCTCTATGGGTCTAACAACTGCCAGACGGCTGGTCCCAGCCCAACCATGAAAGGAGCTCCTCAGATGCACCTCACCTACACTGACCCTTTGACTTTGGCTGGTGCCCCCCACCCATGAACCCCGTGATGTCCTGCACAGCTTACCCCCCCACCCATTAAACTGCTGTGAGCTGGCTAAGCTGGTGTCCCCTCCACAGACACCTTCACACTCGGAACTTCATACCTTATTCCTTTGGCCCACACAGCTTTGTTGAGCCTTGTATCAATGCGCACATCTGGTGTACCCATTTCTTTCATGGCAAACTTCCGGATCTCCTTCAGCGCCCGGGGAGCTCGCTTCTTGAAGCCCCTGGATTCAAACATAAGCAATTGAGTCACTCAGCACCCAAATACATAATCTCATCTCCATAAACCTTCACACACACACACACACATCCCTACCTTCCAGCAGCTGGAATTTAAGACTTGAGACAAACTGCATGCACTCAGAATACAACTTGGTAGTGTCACACATTTTAAGATCTATTTGGGGCCTGGTGCAATAGTGTCGTGGCTAAAGTCCTCGCCTTGAATGCACCGGGATCCCATATGGGCCCCTGGTTCTAATCCTGGCAGCCCCACTTCCCATCCAGCTCCCTGCTTGTGGCCTGGGAAGGCAGTAGGGAAAGCCCAAAGACTTGGGACCCTTGGGCCCCTGCACCTGGGTTGGAGACCCGGAAAAAGCTCCTGGCTCTGGATTGGCTCAGCTCCGGCCTTTGCAGGAACTTGGGGAGTGAATCATCAGATGGAAAATTTTCCTGTGTCTTTCTTCTCTGTATATCTTTCTAATAAAAATATATAAATCAAAGTTTATTCTATCAACCTGCACTACTTTAATGTCTTACAGGTAGAATAAATTCCTGTTCAAGGTAAGCGAAGTCACCTGATGGTAAAGCTGTTAGCACTACACACATCGCTTCTCAGCCTTTTGGCTAAGAGCAAGTGAAGACTACACAGCATCAGGCCCGGCGGCGTGGCCTAGCGGCTAAAGTCCTTGCCTCGAGCGCCGGGCTCCCATACGGGTGCCGGTTCGAATCCCAGCAGCTCCACTTCCCGTGCTTGTGACCTGGGAGGGCAGTTAAGGACAGCCCAAAGCCTCGGGACCCTGAACCCACGTGGGAGACCTGGAGGATGTTCCTGGCTCCAGATCCGACCAGCTTCGGACCGGAAGATCTTCCCTATCTCTCCTCTGTATAAAACAAATGGCGCCCGGTGGCGCCGCCTAGCGGCTAAAGCCCTCGCTTTGAGCGCTGGGATCCCATAGGGGCCAGTTCTAATCCTGGCATGCTCCACTTTCCATCCAGCTCCCTGCTTGTGGCTGGGAAAGCCTTAGACTTGGGACCCTGCACCATGGGTTGGAGACCTGGGAAATTTTCCTGTGTCTCTATTCTATCTATCTGCTTTATTGTCTTACAGGTAGAGTAAATTCCTGCTCAATAAGCGAAGTCACCTGATGGTAAAGCTGTTAGCACTACAAACATCGCTTCTCAGCCTTTTGGCTAAGAGCAAGTGAAGACTACACAGCATCAGGCCCGGCGGCGTGGCCTAGCGGCTAAAGTCCTTGCCTCGAGCGCCGGGCTCCCATATGGGCGCCGGTTCTAATCCCGGCAGCTCCACTTCCTATTTCTCCTCTCTGTATATCTGAGTTTGTAATGAAAATAAAATAAATCCTTTTTTTAAAAAAAATAAAAACTTTCCTCTAGGCATACCAAATGGTTAGCCAACTTACTGTGTTTGGGAAAACAGTGCAAGATACTCCAAGTACTTGAGGCCCTGTCACCCACACAGGAAATCCGGATGGAGTTCCAGGCTTTGTCCTGGCTTAGCAGCAAGCTCTCCCCAATTCTGTCAAACAAGCATCTCTAAAGGGGATCACAGGCTTTAGTAAACAGTTAAGGTAACACCTGCGCCTCGGCTGTAATGACCACGGCCATTTACGAGGAAGCTTTCAGGTGTAAGGAAACAGCACCGCTGCTCTGAAACAGGCCCATGCGCAGTAGGACTCAGGCAAGTAAGTGGACTATTACATGTCAGCTGTAGCTCCCTGGCTCATAAGCTAACTGAAAGATTAGAGAATAAACCATGCTTGGGGTAGGCCAGAGAAGCCAGAACCCTGGACATGGCACTGCCCCCGTTCACAGAACTAGCAGCAGAGACGAGGGGAAACAGTGCAGTAGGACAACATTAGAATACCTAGTGGAGGGCCCGGTAGCTAGGTAGCGAAATGCTCACCTTGCATGCCCAGGATCCCATATGGGTGCTGCTCTGTGTCCCGGCAAAGCAGTCGAGGATGGCCCAAAGCCTTGCCACCCTGCACCCGCGTGGGAGACCTGGAAGATGATCCTGACTGGCTGAGTTCTGCCCGCTGCAGCTTCTTTGGGGTGTGAATCAGCAGATGCAGGACCTCTCGCTATTTCCTGTATATCTGCCTTTCCAATAAAATAACCTTTCAAAAAGAGTGGGGGAGCCACACGCGGTGGCCTAGCAGCTAAATCCTCGTGTCAGACGCGCCAGTTCTAGTCCTGGCAGCTCCACTTCCCATCCATCTCCCCGCTTGTGGCCTGGGAAAGCAGTCGAGGCCGGCCCAAAGCCTTGGGACCCTGCACCGGTGTGGGAGGCCTGGAGGAGGATCCTGGCTTCAGATAGGCTAAGCTCCAGCCACTGCAGCCACTTGGGAAGTGAATCATTGGATGAAAATCTGTCTCTCCTCCAGTCTGTTTGACTTTCTAGTAAGAACACATAAATGTTAAAAGAAAAAAAAAAGTGGGAGAGGCACTGGCCTAGCAGTTCGGACCCACACAGGACTGCAGGTGGACTCAGGGAGGGAGCAGTGACGCTCACATGCACCCTTCTTGGAGAGCTGAACCAAGTTCCTGGCTCCCAGCCTGGCAGCCCCCGGGAGCTCTGCCTCGCCAACAAATCAGAAACATCTACATCCAGGAACAAGCACAGCCTTTAAAAAAATTTTTTTTAAATTTTTTATTATATTTTGACAATCTTTACATAGTCAATTAGTGCTTGGAGTGGCAAGATTGGCTGCGATTCATAACTGTTGAAATATCAAAACCACATGAGCAAGATCCTCAGAGCATGCCCTGCATTCGGGACCTGGGGAGAGTGGGAAATTGGGTGGGCCTTCTCCCTTAATACCCCCTTTAAACATGAAGGAAACAACAGGGACAAAAATACTAGCCTTATCCATTTTCCTGTAGCCCTTGACCCTTTTTACCCTAATTACCTATGTAAAGATTGTCAAAAAAAAAAAAAAAAAAAGCACAGCCTTTAAATGGACCAAGTCCGAGAAAGCTCAACACACAGGGGTGTAAGAATCCGAGGAACAGCAAGTGAAATGGGACCAAACCACGGGGTTTGGCTACCCAGGCAGGGCCACGGCCAGCTTGATTTAGTAGCACTGTCCGTCCCAGGCTCTCCCACATCCACCCAGCCCGGCAGCACAGCGGACACTCACTCCGCCTGCAGACGCACAGCTGGCGCGTGTTCGGAGAGCATCCTCTCTCCACCTGCCCCTATTCCAGTCACCTGGGGGACAGTGCATGCCCTGCCCCACACTCGGGCCCAACATCCCCGGGGGCTGCGAAGCGACGCCGTCCTTGGAGCCGTTCACAGCAGGAAACGCCAAGGAACAGTGGGAACCGTCCACGTTCCCATGAGCAGCTAAGCAGCCCGCAGGGCGCGGAGCCCCAGCTGCAGTGCACCCCGACAGCTCCGCATCCCAGGCCGCAGTGCACCCCGACATCGCCGAAGCACAGGCCTCAGTGCACCCCGACAGCTCCGCAGCCCAGGCCGCAGTGCACCCCGACAGCTCCGCATCCCAGGCCGCAGTGCACCCCGACAGCTCCGCAGCCCAGGCCGTAGTGCACCCAGACATCGCCGCAGCCCAGGCCGCAGTGCACCCGAACCCGCCGCAGCCCCACGCACCCCCGGCCGGCCACTCACACTCCATGGATGCGCTTGTGGATGTTGATGGTGTACTCCCGCGTCACCACCTCGTTGATGGCGGAACGACCCTTCTTCTTCTCGCCGCCCTTCTTCGCGGGAGCCATCTACACGGAGACCACGGGGAAGAGCTCAGAGAAGGAACGAGCCCAAGGCCGCCGGGGGAGGCTCGGCCGGCCGCCAGTGCCCGGGTCCGAGTCCGGGAAGGCCGGCCGCCACCGCCCGAGTCCGGCTCCCGCTGGCCATCCTGCGCCTCCCACAGGCCCGCCAAGCCGCGGGTCCTCATCTGCCCGGAATGCGGAGTCGGCAGCTGGGTCAGCCGGGACCCCGGCGGCCCGCTTAGCACAATCCCGGAGCAGGATGGAAGCCGATTCTCCAAGCCGGGACACGGCGACCGTACTCACCTCGTAGGGCCCAAGCCAGAAAGGAAGAACGCGCAGGATTGTGGGACAGAGAAGACAGGGGCGGCGGGGACAACTTCCGGTTTGGCGGCCGGGGAGGGCGCGCCCGTGACGTCGAAAGAGCGCGCCGGAGGGCGGAGCGAGCGGGCGGGCCCAGGCTGGGAGGCGTGTTGCTGCGCCGGGGCTGCTGGAAGGGGCTTGCTGGGCGGGAGCAGGGCCTGGGGGCGAAGGAGCGGTTTGCTTCCGCCTGTTCGGTCTTTCGTTGCCTCCACCAGTGCGTGTCAGGTGCTGTACCTAGAGATCGGTCCCCGAGGGAGGTCATACACAACTCGGGATGAGAACGCTTGATGTGCCACATGGCTTCCTGGCGCTGGAGCGCGTGGGAAGAGGGATAGGTCGAGTCGAGCCCCCCGACCTCCCCCAGAGGGGTTTCAGCAGAGGACACGTTCTGGTATCTTTGCTCTGCAGGCCGGAGGCAGGCTGCAGCAGGCGCGCTGTGATGGCCCTCAGGGACCCGGTCTGGACCCCCTCCTCTAGGGCAGGAGGTGGGGAAGGGGGCGGCGCGCGCTCGTCCCAAACACAGTGCATCCGGCTTGGAGAGCACTCCCCTGCCCAAAGCAAGTGGGGCCTCGTGGTGGGTTACCTTTCCTTTCTGTACCCCCCCTCCCATCACTGGGGTTGTATTAACAGAAAGGGGAGGGGTACAGTGGGCTTTGACCTGCTGACTTCCACGCTCATCTCTTTGTTTCTGACTGCACATCTTTGTCTTCTCCCTGCGGCGCCTGGTCCTGACTCACACTTGATGGCTCTTTTGGGGTCACTGCTGTGACCTGACTCTACCTCACTTTCCGGAGGCTGGGGTGTTAATTCCATTCTTTCTATCTGGATTCCAGGTTGTTTTTGTGTTTCGTTTTTTTAAAAGATTTATCTTTTTTTTTCTTTTTTTTTTTTTGGAAAAGCAGATTTACAGAGAGCAGACAGAAAGATCTCCCATCCACTGGTTCACTCCCCAAATGGCACAACAGCCCGAGCTGAGCTCATCAGGAGCCAGGCACTTCTTCCAGGTCTCCCACATGGGTGCAGGGTCCCAAGGCTTTGGGCCGTCCTCGACTGCCTTCCCAGGCCACAGGCAGGGAGCTGGATGGGAAGTGGAGCAACCTGGATGTGAGTCGCACTGATGTGGGATCCTGGCGCTTGGAGGTGGAGGATTAGCCAATTGAGCCATTGTCCCTGGTGCTGGATTCCAGCTGTTAGACGAGGGCACTCAAGGGCCTGCTTGGAAAGCCTTGCTTGGGGAGCTAAAGAATGTGACTGTGGTCAGAAGCTGGCTGCTAGCTTTGGGGAGAATGGTCGATGAAATCACATTAAAAAAAAAAAAAACAGTCTTGTATCATGTGTAACAGGTTCTGCAGGAGATATAAAGGGATTGCTTGACTCTGAACAAAGCACAGGGACAGAGCCTGGCACAGTAGCCTAGTAGCTAAAGTCCTTGCCTTGCATGCGCCAGGATCCCATATGGGCGCTGGTTCATATCCTGACTGTTCCACTTCCCAACTGGCTGTTTCTTGTGGCCTGGGAAAGCAGTCAAGGACAGCCCTTGGGACCCTGCACCCTCGTGGGAGACCAAGAAAAAGCTCTTGGATCCTAGCTTCAGATGGGCTCAGTCCAGCTGTTGCAGCCACTTGGGGAGTGAATCAGTGGATGGAAGATCTTTCTATATCTCCTTCTCTCTGTAAATCTGACTTTGCAATAAAAATAAATTTAAAAAAAAAGCGTGGGGACCAGACGCAACGATAAGATAAGTTCTGGGAGATGTGTTGCTCAGTGTGCACACGTCAAGGTTGTACTCACAACCTAGAGGGTTTAGTGTACGACACACCTCTGGCCTACTCCTTCGTGTATGTGGTCTGTTGACTGGAACATGGTTCTGTAGTGCCTGGCTATGTTTCCAGGTTCATTAGAGTAGTAACAGAAACAGCACTTAAACCCCACACAGCCCTTGTTCTCAAGCTTGGGCGTCTGGATTTTTAATTTGTACTGCTTCAGAAGGTTTCTTTCTTTGTTTTTGGAGGGTAGTTGATTTCATGCTTTGGGATAGAAAAAGAAAAATATATCAAGACATGCCCCTGATCCTAAAAAAGAAATCTGGAATCGTGTGTCTTCCAGGCAATGTCAAAAAGATCAAGGAGCCACACGAGGGGACAAACTACTGAATGCTTAGGCTGGACCTGTTTGAGACTAAAATAACAACGGCTCACTAGAAAAGCTTACTTTTTAGAAAACGAGTTCATGACTTCATGCTTAAAATCAAACATGAGTTATTTAAAAAGGGAATTGTAGCTTAAACGGAAGTCAGTATCAAACATGTACCTAAGTGTGACTTGACAAAAATCCTATTAAAAAAATATTGTTTCTGATGACCATTTGTCCATGGAGAAATTAACATTCTGCTGTTTGGGTTTATCATGAAACTCGTGTGAATTGCCTGGAAAGCTGGTACTGACATGTCCCCGGAGGATCCACATCGTCACTTCTCTAGGACACTGGAGCTGACCTTATGGTTGTAACTATCCAGTCTAAAGAGACCAAGTAAATTAGTTTTATACTAGACGCTCCAATAGGCAAGAATGCAAAATATCATAGCTTAGAACAGTGTAAGAGTGTGCCGATTCACCGTATTTCCTGTATAAACAAAATTGTAGAATTAAGGAATTTGGGTTGCCATTAGAGGGTGGAAGATGACATTTTAATCCAGTTTACAATATCTCAAGCTTAGTACATTCCAGACTACACAATTAGACCCTTCTCGGGAGCCAAGACTTTATACTTTTCCAAACAGAAAGGTCATGCTTTTCTCTGGAACTAGGATAGAGCTGCAAAAAAGATTTTCTAATGAGCAAAATTTAATGACTCAATAGCTTAGGGATTAAACCTCCCATGTTTGTGGGTCGAGAGAACTATTATACAATGAGTCTCCCGAGTTTACCCAAATTCTGAACACGTGTGACTTGAGCAAAGCTAAATTAAATTAGGAGCATGTCACACCCCACCCTCATCCAATGGCTAGGATACTCTAGGACAATAAATATACTGTTATCATTAAAAATCTTGTTCCACTTAGAAGGATTCTGACATTCAATTAAAATACACAATCTTTTACAGAAAATTCTGACCTGTAAATCTTTGAGTTGACAACATTAAGCTAAAAAAAAAAGTTACATATGGCTTTTCTTTTTAAAAGGGTGATCTTTCCTTTCTGATTCTTTGGAAGTTTTCCTAGCATATGCAAAATACTTAGACTTACTGCTCATCTTCTCCCACCCCACCCCACCCCAACTTTTTTTAGGACTAAGGCAATTACATCAACTCTTGTCAGATGCAGTTCTATAGTGTCACCTTGTGCCATCTGAAACTGATCATAGAACTGTGGCCTAGCAGGGGCATCACCAAAGATCCCTTACCAGGTCCACCCTAGTCCCAGCTCTCACTAGCAGGTGCTGCAGCCTGGCTTAGGCCCAACCTGTCCCCAGCCCCAGCTTTCCTGTGCACCAGTGGGTTCTGTGGCCTAGTCAGGGGGCAGAGAATACCAAAGAACCCCTGCTGGACCTGTTCCAGAGACGATTGCTGAGTTTCTGTAGATGCTTTGGCCTGACCTAATGGAAGCCCCTTCTGACCCACCTATCTCAGCTCCTTTGATTGCCTGTGGGTGCAGTGGCCCTGTCCAGTCTGTGGAAGCCCTAATATATGTCAAACAAACCCTCAGTGGCTCTCATTCCAACCAGTCCCCTGCCTCTTCCCTTCTTCCCCCAACAATTTGCACATGATGCAGTAATGGCAGTGGGGTGGCCCCAGTTGGCATATACCTGTGATAGCATGCAAGGTGCTCCAGCTCTTCCCTACGGAACTTAAAAAAAAAAAAAAAGAAAGTATGCTGGCACACTGGTAGCGTTAACACATAGTTGGCATTAACCAGGCCCAGAATGCCTGCCAGCCACTGGCTATTTTTCTCCCAGCAGTGTAACATTTGCCCAGGTACAAGGCAACCTAGGCAGTTGCCCACCGCTGGGGGCTGGCTGCTCCTTTTCCAATTCAGCTTTCTGCTAATATGCCTGAGAAAGCAGCAAAAGATGGCCCAAGTCCTTGGGTACCTGAACCCACACGGAAAACCTGGAGGAAGCACCTGGCTTCAGATTGGCCCAGCTCTGGCCATTTGGGGAGTCAAGCAGTAGTTGAAAGATCTGTGTCTATCTCTGTTCTCTCTGTGACTCTGCCTTTCAAATAATATAAAATCTTTAAAGAAAAAAAAAAGATTGGGAACCTGATGGGTGGATGCACATTGCAACTCAAAAGCCTAATGCCATCACCCCACTTACTGTTTGCCTCCTGTTCCTTTTGGTGTCTTTGGTTGTACTTGGGAGTATAGTAATTGTGACTGAGCATGGAAATCTGCAGAAATTTTCATGGTTTTGGAACACTTTGAAGTCAAACAGTTCAAGAATTTTTGGAACATCTTGGAAATTCTTAAAAAGAGTTAAGAAACGACCAATTAGTAGATATATGCATGGATGTATATCAAGGGACAGAAGGAGTTATAAAAAAATCTGTTAATTTATTACAAAATGTCCACTCACAGAAAGACACAGAAATGTTGGATACTTTTTATATATTGGGGAAAGGAACTGCTGTCTCAGTACAAAATAATTTACACATAATCCATACAATTTTATTTTATATAGAAATAGTTCATTATTACAACAGCTGTACAATTCACTACACTTCGTCTTATAATTACATAAAATCTTTTCTTTAGAAACATCTCAACAAAACATACAAAAAAAGCAAAGTGCATTTGGAAAAGGGAAATGCAACCACCGGAGCATCATGAAAGACACCGAGAAAGATGCAGGGTTCTTGCTCCAAGGGCTGCAGGTGATGGGGGCCCTCCCAGGCCTGCAGCACCCCACTTCCCAACCCTCAGGCCTCCAGGGGTCCCAGGTGATGGGGGCCCTCCAAGGCCTGCAGCACCCCACTTCCCAACACTTAGGCCTCCAAGGGCCGCAGGTGATGGGGGCCCTCCCAGGCCTGCAGCACCCCACTTCCCAACCCTCAGGCCTCCAGGGGCTGCAGGTGATGGGGGGCCCTCCCAGGCCTGCAGCACCCCACTTCCCAACCTTCAGGCCTCCAGGGGCTCCAGGTGATGGGGGGCCCTCCCAGGCCTGCAGCACCCAACTTTCCAACCCTCAGGCCTCCGAGCCTCCCATCCTCACTAGAGTTCCTCAACTGCTGTTGTGCTTAAGTCCACCTCTGTAGTTGCAATCAACAAAGTAAACAGGAAATAGTCCAGTGTTCTATTGGGGGAAGGAAGTGAGGGGTTGGAGGGTGGGGTGGGATGGGGAATGAAGAGGGAAGATCATCACCAGTATGGCAGGGGGTGTAGAACCTCAATCCTTTAGGGTTTAGACCAGAGGGGATGGAATTGCAGCTTGGCTAATAACAACCAGCTTTGCTATCTGATTAGTGAGCTGTTTTTGTTAACCGAGGCCTCCACGTGAAGTCATGAGACCTTATTATTAAAAAAGGGAAAAAAAGTGCCTAAGTTATTTTTTCTGTGCAGCTGTGCAAATTAAAACAAAAATAACCATTTAGAAATAATGAAAAATAACCTCTTCATTCTCTTTCTCTCATAGATCTCTGACTCAGTCCTTCTCAAATGCAAAGGAAAACCCACCTAGAATGAGAAGGCCAGCAAGTGGGAGTGGACGGGCCGGTTCCAGGGGAGCGACCCCTGCACGCTGGGGGACGCAGCAAGGTGTGCTCTCTGTGAAGGCTAACTGAGCCACAGGGTGTGCACCTGTCCAGTTCCCGTTCCTATGGCTGTAGAGTGCGTCCCAGAAGCTCGGAGGCAAGGGAGACACAGCTGGTATTCCGAGTCATTTCCCACTGCACCGGCAGCGTGCCCAGCGCCCAGCGAGGTGTTTATCACCTGGTAGCTCTGAGATGTGTGCACAAAAGCCTAGGGTGTCACTCAAACTCCCATGGCCGTCATCCCTCCCCTCACTCCATTGGTTAAAGCTGATTTCGTCCTGACTTCAGTCCCAGGGCGAAGACTACCGGGGTGGTTGCTGGAGGCCAGTGGACTCAGACAGACTGCTGAGCCTTCGGGGTGGTCGTTGGGGCTGTGGCTGCACGGGGGGCGGTGGCAGAGGGCCGTAGCTCAGGGTCCCCGGCTGTTGGGAGTAGGTGGAGAGGATGAATGAGTCCTGCTGCTCACTGTGCAAGGACGCTGGTGCCTGCATCAGGGTGGAAAAGCAGAAGGTGGTTCTGAGAAGTGGGGCTTCAGAGCCCTTCTCAGTACCCAGGAGGCAGGTGGGGGCAGGGCCCTGCAGGTGCAGCCTGACCAGAGGCTCTTCCTCCTTGGATGGATGGCAGGGGTACTGACTAGGGACCAGGCTGCCCCAGGTAAGGGTCAATGCTGAAACTGTTTTCCAACAGAGGACAGGGTGGGGTGAGCTGGGGTGTTTCTTCTGGCCCCAGGGACATCTTTCCCAGGCGGTGGTTCCCGAGCCTCATATTTCAGATTTCCAGGTAGCCTGGATGTTTCGATAGGAGGCTGATGAATGAATGTAGAACCCGTAGGCTGGCATTCAATCTGTGTGCTTTCTTACTGCTGGGGTTCCATAGCCATTTTCAAATCTGCCAGGCATCAGCGTCAGCTAAGAAGCAGATGCTTCACCAGGTCAAAGATAGGCTCTGGAAACTTCTCTTATCTCCATGAAACTCAGGTGTTCAGAGCTGTACATGCTGCACACTTCTGCCCACACTGTCCTGCTGGCACACTGTCCCCAACTGCCACTCCTTTACCTGTAGTGGGGCGTTTCCAGGAGCTCCTTCCTCCATGCAGGCTTCCTTGGCCCCGGGGTTGGCCCTCTGTGCTGTCCCCACCCTGAGCCCTCTCACATGGCGTGCTAATCCACCATGCACACTGCATGCACTCCAGGGCCTCCAAGGGCAGAGCACAGGCAAGAGAGCTGTTTGTGTCATGGCTATCTGCAAACATGTTATGTGCTCACATACCTCCCTGCCCTGCCCCTGGCCTCCTCTCACCTTATCACTTGCCATCTACAAATCACTTCGATGTCCTGTGTGCTGATAAGATCTCTGATCCTAAGTCAGAGGTGACCCATGCTATGCTGACACCCACACCTGGCTTAGTAACTCTGGCCCTGGAAAGGCTTTCTCTATCTGCATCCCAGTCTTCTAGCCATCTCAGATGCTGCACACTGCCCTAGGGCAGCCGTCAGGAGGAGTAGATAGAGCTGAAGGCTGGGGAGCAAGCCTCACAGGACAGGTTAGGGAGGAGCACCCCAGGCACATGTGTGTCAGAAGGCCAGAGCCCTGCCAGGACCGCAGCAGACACATGGCTCCCACTGGAACGCACAGCCCAGTGGCTCCCCTCTCTTCTAGGTGGATTTGGGACATGCTTGAATTCAGTTTGTGTTCTAGGCAGCAAACATAGGTAAAAGTATCTCAGCAATGTGATAAATCTTGAAGTAAATGGGATTTCATTTTGTCTTTGTAAAAGTCTTTTATCTATGACTACACTGGCAAATCTGACAAGCATAGTCAACCATATTAGGTTTTTGCTCTGCAGCATGGACATATCAAGATGCAAATAATAATAGTAATTATTATTATTTTGGGACAATTCATTTTGACAAGTGAGCCTCTTCAGCACAAACCCAGATGAAATACATAATGGCTAACTCTTAATTTCTCTTGTGGAACACAACGATTTTGGAAGCAAGGCAGGAAGAGGCCAGATAAGACTTGCGATGTGGAGATTGGCCCTGCCCCCTTAGACCCAATGCTTGGCCCGGCCAGGCCTGGTGCCCACCTGTAGGTAGTGCTGCTGTGGCTGCTGCTGGGCCTGAGCTGGCTGCAAGGCTGATGGCTGGGATGCAGGGAAGCTGGGATGAAACACGGCCTGGCCCATCAGCAGGATGGGGGTGGAGGAGCTGCTGCTGGCAGGGTGCACATCTGGGCTTGGAAACAGGGCCTGGTTCTGTGCATACCTGTTTGGATCCACGTGGAGAGGAGAGAACAGATCTTTTAAGAAAGAAACACTGATGTGACACCAAAACACACTGGTAACAACAAATGCTTAGGTAAGGGGGACTTCATCAACACCTCTTAGCCATTAAAGGACGAGGTCCACAGAGGGGCAAGGCAAGCCACAAGAGCAGAGAAAAACGTTTGCATTCCATACTCCTGATAAGGGACCTGCAATAGGGCCTTGTAAGATTTCTACAATTCCAAAGGAAACCAAAACAGTCAGACCAAAACGCAGGCGGGGAGGGCTTGAGTAGAGATTTCTCCAAAGAAATGTGGAAACGCCCAATGTGGCTGCACACGTGACATGATACCTAATGTTGCTTGTCATGGGAGAAAAGCAAATCAGAACCAAGATGAGGGGCAGGCATTTGTCCTAGAGCTTAAAATGCCCATGAGAGCTGCTGTGTCCAATGCCAGCTTCCTGCTAACAACCCAAGGTGGCAGCAGATGAGGGCTCGAGGAGTTGGGTTGAGTTTTGACTCTCTGGCAGTCACAGGAGTTTGGGAAGTAAATCAACAGGCAGGAGCCGTGTCTGTCAATCTGTTTCTGTGACTCTCAAAGCGAAACACAGACGAACCCTCCCACAGATGAACCCCCATTGTCATTCCATGGTTATTATAAAAAAGTATAGAATGTCACTAGTGCTGGTGAGGATGGGGAGAAAGAACCCTTGTACACTAATGGTGGGAATGTGGAATGGTGCACCTGCCATGGACAACAAACTGATGGCACCTCAGAGAAGTACACACGGAATTTCCCTATGATCCAACCATTCGCTCCTGACTTGTACCCACAAAAAGTGAAAGCAGGGACTCCGAGATTTGTACACAGCGGCAGCATGGTTCACAACAAAGGGCATATGAATGGATAAGGACTTGGGGCACATCCATGCAGTGGAACATTATTCAACCTTAAAAAGGAAGGAAATTTTGACTCATGCTACAACATGAATGGGATGTCATCTAGTGAAATATCTAGTTATCTAGTGAACAGCAAATATTGCGTGTTTCCTCTTATGTAAAGGCCTTGTATGGTCAGATTCGCAGGCACACAGAGGGGACTGCACAGCAATGGAGAGTTAGTGTTTTGTTGGATTGCAAAGATGGAAAAGTTCTGCAGACAGATAGTGGGGGTGGTTGTATACCTGTGTAGCAGGTTCAATGCCAACAAATTATACACTCAAAATTTGTTAAAATGGGGGCATGCAGTGAGATGTAGTGGATTAAGCCTCTGTGAAGCCAGCATCCCCTATGGGTGCCAGTTTCAGTACTAGCAACTCCATGTCTGATCCAGCTTCTTGCTAGTGTGCCTGAGAAAGCAGCAGAAACTGGCTCCAGTTCTTGGTCCCCTGCACCCACATGGGAGACCCAGGAGAAGCTCCCGGCTCCTGGCTTTGCCATGACCCACTGCTGTTGCAGCCATTTGGGGAGTGAATCAGTGATGGAAAATTTTTCTTTCCCCTTCTCTGTATAATGTCACCTTTTGAATAAATAAAACCAACCTTAAAAATAAACTTGATACAATGGTAAATATTATGGGAGGTGTTGGGACTGGTACTGTGTCATAGCAAGCAAAGTCACCAACTGCTGTGCTGCCATACCATGTGGGCACCAGTTTGAGTTCTGGATGTCCCATCTCTGAGCTAGCTGCATGCTAACATGCCTGGGAAAGCAGTGAAAGATGCCGCAAGTGTTGGGTCCCAACATCCACGCGGGAGACCCAGAAGAAGCTCTTGGCTCTTGATTGGTCTAGCTTCGGCCATTGTGGCCATTTAGGGAGTTAGCTAGAGGATCTGTGTGTTTGTGTGTGTGTGTGTGTGTGTGTGTGTGTGTGTGTGTGTGTGTGTGTGTGTGTGACTCTGCCTTTCAAATAAATAAAACCTAAAAAAAAAAATAATAAAAGGAAGGAATTGATAATGGTCCACTAACTAAGGAAAGTTCTGGAAGGTGATCAAGAACAGATACCTCAAGACTCCGCAGAGGTGTCTCTGACCTTGTCCCTGGGTAGGGATCTTGTTTCCCAACCTGGGGACATCAGCCACACCCAGGAGTGAAATCCACTGGTCTGATGGAAAGGACAGTTAGAATCCCCAGAGGATGGAATTTCCACCTCACTGCATTTTAAGCTTCTCTGGTATATAATGTGATGTAGGAATCTGTTTCCACCTTACTCAGATCATTTAGGAAGAACAGGCACAACCCCAAACTCAGCCTTCCCACCTCCCACCTAACAGAGCTTGCTGCAAGGTGCCTTCCCTTGCCTGCCTTCCCACGGCCACAGGGAGGGGCAGGAGGACGCGCCTAGAGCACCATCCAGAGGCCGTGGGGAGACCCCAGCAAGGGCTGCAGGCAGGGATGGCCTTGGAAGAATCAGGAAGGCACAGCGAGCCCCTGCTGTGTCATCTACAAAGAACGTATCTTAACCTCATCCACAGACTGTCTCTTCTTCATTGGTTGAAAAAGAGAGAGCACCTTCACTCTAAGGTTTTTAGGAAGACAAAATACTGAACACACGGGGCCAACCCTGAGAAATGCATGTAGTAGCCGTCTGCTGTCACTGCTGGAGCTGGTACAGGAGGACACAGGGACTGTCCAGGGGACAGCCCTGCTGCAAGGCCTCTGCAGGAGGTCCACCACTGTCCTGGTGATGGATGTTGTGGCACTGTGGGTTAAAGCCATTGCTTGCAATGGCTGCCTTCCACATCAGAGTGATGGTTTGGATCCTGGCTACTCTGCTGCCAACCTAACTTTCTCCTCGTGCATCCTGGGAGGCCGTAGGTGATGGTTCAATTGCTCGAGGTCCCTGCTACCCATGTGGGAAGCCTGCATGGAGCTCCTGGCTCCTAGCCTGGGCCTGGCTCAGCCCCAGCCATCACAGCCATTTGGGGAGTGAACCAGCAGATGAAGATCTCTTTCTGTCTCTCCCCCTCTCTCTAACTCTGCCTTTTAAACAACTAAATATTTTTTTCAAAGATTTATTTATTTATTATTGGAAAGCCAGAGTTACAGAAAGAAGGAGAGACAGAGAGGAAGACCTTTCATATGCTGTTTATTCCCCACGTGGCTATAATGGCTGGGGCTGAACCAATCTGAAACCAGGATCCTGGAGTTTCCTCTGAGTCTCCTACGCCGGTGCAAGGGTCCCAAGGCTTTTGGCCATCTTCTACTGCTTTCCCCGGCCACAAGCTGGGAGCTAGATGGGAAGTGAAGCAGTCAGGATATGAACTGGCACCTACACGGCATCCTGGCTCAGGTAAGGTGAGGACTTTAGCCACTAAGCTATTGTGCTGGGCCCTATATCTTCTATTGTTATGAGATCTTTCTCTGTCTTTCTTGCTCTAACCTTTATATCTAAGGCCTAAAAACCATCTTCTGGGAGTTTTTACACTATTGGGGGGCCTCATGTTTCCAGTAAGCCTTATGCTTAGCAATTGGCCAGTAGGCAAAGCTGCTTCTGGTCCCAAGAGTTCATGTGGAAGATAGATTGGGAGGCGTTGTGGTTCCAATGTGCACCCCAAAGTTCATGCCCTGGAAACTCAGCCCTTAGAGGTGAAGAGGACTCAGAGGTGGGGCCCTGGGACGTGACTCAGACTCGACAAGGCCACACTGCCACTGTGGGAGGAAGAGCTCAGCTGGCACTCTCCCACCGTCTCGCTATGGGATGCTTTACCGGGCCATGAGGCAGCAAGCAGGGCTCCTGAGATGCTGGAGCCATGCTCTCGGGCTTCTCAGCCTCTTACACGTGTGAGTCACAATATAATTCAGAGCTTTATAGATGGTTCTGTTCCAGGTGCAAACAACAGACTAAGACATGGAGTCAACCTGCGGAGGCTTGTGCTTCTGGGAGGAAAAGGGGACCCCATGTGCGCAGGGTCTGGTGGTCCTGGAGCAGGGGGCAGAAGGCTACTCATGTCAGGGATGTCCTGCAAGCATGCAGGCCCCTAAAACATGATGGCAATCTAGGACATGGTGCATTGCTTCATCCTGGTCTGTAGGAGTAAGTACATCCTGCCTAGATGGGGACAAGGGCTTGATGTGGTCCCACCTGCAGCCCGACAGTGCCCAGCAGTGCTGCCAGCCCAGGTACTAGCCTGGACTGTTCAGCACAGCTCTCTCCCTCCCCTCCTCTCTCCAAGGCCACGCACTTGACTTGCCGTCCAGTCCTGCCTATCTCTGTGGATTGCCTCGCTTCACAAGATCCAGGCATCATGGGCTGAATAGGCTGGCTCAGCAACAGCCTGTCAACAGAAGAGGGGAAAAAGAAACTCCGGTCAGTACCCAAACTCCAGCCTCTATGGCAGATGCTCCTCCTTGACTCCTCTGCTCCATTCTCAGAGGAGCAGGGCAGACTCGGGATCCCCATCACCTGCCCGTCCGAACCCCGAGCCCTCTCCTGCCACTTCCTTCACTGGCACAATGCTGTTCTCTGTTTACCTGAGCTGCCGATCGTGGCTGAAGTCGGGACTGGGCTGGCACGGGCTGGCCTCCTGGGAGGCGGGAGCAGGCGTGGTCAAGTTCAGAGTTGGTGGCAGCACAGCCGTGGCACTGGTGAACGGGGACGTCAAACTGCCCACTGGGCGGCCGCCCCCTTGCAGCAGCTGTGAGCTTCTCAGTGGCTTGGGACCCTGGGGGCACAGAGAGGAGTGAAACCAAGCAACCATGGCCCCAGTTCCTCTGGGACTTCCCTCTAACGTGGGACCTACTACTGCTTCTTGGGTTATTCTTATTGCTGTTATCCACTGCACTGCAAGCACCTTGTGGGGGTGGTTCTTAGAGTCCCTTGGGTCTTGGCCAGTGCCAGGCTCTCTGCAAACAAGGGTCACCTGCATACTGAGCCGACCGTGGCTTCCCAAAGTTCACGCACGCACGTGCCTGCTGCTTCTCCCATGCACCAGGCCCACTCCCGTGCTCAGGTTCTTTGCACTGATCGACCCCTCCATGTGGAACACTCTCCCTGGCTGAGATCCATAGGCACCTTCTCAAACCCTCTTGGGTGTCTGCTCAACCACTAGACTCTCACAGATGGCTTCCCTGGCCATCTATGCCAACCCACCCAGGGCAGGCATCAAGGCACAGAGATTAAGATGCTGCTTGCAACATCCGCATCCGGTATCAGGGTATTTCATTTAAGTCACAGCTGCTCTGCTACCCAGGGCAGCTTCCTGCTAACATAGATCCTAAGAGGCTCGAGTCTCTACCACCCACATGCGCGGCCTGGATGGAGTTCCAGGCAACTGCCTTGGCCTGGCCCAGTCCTGGCTAGGAAAAAAGCACATTTTCTCTGTCTCTGAAAACAAAACAACTCCAACCCATTGGCTATGCACCAGCATTCACGTGACACATTGCAATCTTTAGTTTTCTCTCTCTGTCCGCCCCCTCTCCCCCTCCACCCGTTTGGAATGGAGATTCTTGTTTTATTCCTCCTCCCCTCCCCTTTTTCTTTGCTCACTGTTGTCCATCACCTATGGCGCTCAGAGTTTCAGGCCAGGCACACAGTGAGTGCTCAGTGAATATTTGCTCAGTGAAGTAATGAATGAATGACGCAATGGGCTTGCATCTGCTTTTGGGTTTTTTGCTCCACTGCTCTCTCCCTATAATCGCCTATGGTGGTCCTCTCTCTGCTTCTCTGTCCTCCTATGGGAGGCCTACGGTGGTAGCACAGCTATTCAATTTTGGGGACTTTTATAAAATCCTTCAGCAGTATATATCATGTAATTCTTTTCCTGGCCTTTTCTTTTCCAAACTTTTTCTTGGTGATTCCTCTCACTTTTCAGATGACTTTTCCAATCAAAGGCTACATTTTTAGTGGAATCCTTGCATTTGGATAAAGATGGACCCAATTCTTAACCTTTTGTGGGGTGGATTCACTTGGCTGTCCATTGAAAAACAGACTAGGCAGCTGAGTCTGGGCTGCGCATCGGCACCGTTCTGTCTTGTCATTATTCCGGAAACAGTATAGTAGAGCACCATTTGCACAGTTTTTATATTGTGTTAGCAACCATAAGGCAGCTAGAGAGGTGAATCCAAGGTTTTGAGAGGATGAATGTGGAGTCCATGGAAATGCTACATTATTTTACATATGAGACTTGAGCATTTGTAGACTTTGGAATCCCTGCAGTGGCCTATAACTAACCCCGCTGTGGATACTGGTGTGCGACTCCATCCACCCACATCCCATTGGACATCATTTGTTTAAGGTCCCAGGTTCCCTACTGGCTAATGCCTTGGGAATCCAGATGTTCTAGCCTGTGGAAGCGAGTCCGCTCCAGCGGCCGGCATGGCCTGTGCAGAAGGGCATCGTTACCTGCGTTGATATCACACTCGACTCTCTGAGCAGGTGCTGGCTGCTGACCGGGGCCGAGGTCATCTGCCCCGAGAGCTCAGGGCTCACCACGAGCTGGGGCTGAGACCCTGAAGTCCGTTGCTGTAGCTGCTGCTGGGTCTCAGGCCGCTGGGGGCTGCTGAAGCTCAGGGAGACAGCCGGCTGCTGCAGGAACATCTGGGGGCACACGAGAGACACCAGGAGTGAGCACAGGGGTCTCCTGTGCCCGCAACAAGAGGTCAGCTTTCCTTGACCTGCTGTTAACAGTTCACTGGCTCAGCTAGGAGGCGGCGGGTGCCTGTGCTGCTGCAGCCCAGCGCAAGGTGCCGAGCATACAAGGTGGGTGGGAGGCACAGGTCACAGGCAAAGTCACTGATGGTGAAACTTGCTTGCTCTCAGATATGCCTTAAAGAATTCAGCATATTTCCTCAGGGACCAAGTTGATTTCTCAGAAGGGAGGGTCATAGGAGCAGGTGGGTGACTTGACCTCAAGTCCATGGGTGTGGGCTTTCTAACCATCATGACAATCTCGATGTGTTCTGTAGCTCAGATGAGTTAGACATTTAGGACACTGTCAGGGCTGGCATTGTAGCACAGTGGATTAAGCTGTCACCTGCAATGCCAATATCCCATTTGGGTGCAAGTTCCTGTATTGGTTGCTCCATTTTCAATCCAGTTCCTTGATAATGTACCCTGGGAAAGCAGCAGAAGACTTTCAACAAAAGACCCTCTTGGGTTTAAAATATCAAATGATTTAGTCTCTATATCACAGATTTCTTTGCTTTTTCTTTTTAAAAGATTATTACATTATTGGACTGGAAAGTCAGATATACAGAGAGGAGGAGAGACAGAGGAAGATCTTCCATCCATTGATTCACTCCTCAAGTGGCTGCAATGGCCAGAGCTATGCCAATCCAAAGCCAGGAGCCAGCATCCTCCTCCAGGTCTCCAACACGGGTGCAGGGTCCCAAAGCTTTGGGCTGTCCTCTACTGCTTTCCCAGGCCACAAGTAGGGAGCTGAATGGGAAGTGGGGCTGCCAGGATTAGATCCGGTGCCCATATGGGATCCCGGCGCGTTCAAGGTGAGGACTTTAGCCATTAGGCTACAGTGTCGGACCCTCATCTTTTTCATTTAAAAGCTACTTGAGAGAGAGAGAGAGAGAGAGAGAGAGAGAGAGAGAGAGAGAGAAACTACCCTATGTACAGGTGTGCTCCCTGGGTGCCGGCAAGGGCTGGGGCTGGACTGAGATCAAAGCTAGGAACTACTAACAAAAGTACATCTCTCATATGGGTAACAGGAATCTGATTCCTTGATCCACCCCTGTGCCTCCCGGGGTCTGCCCTGTCAGAAGGCCGGAGTCAGGAGCCAGAGCCAGGGATCAAACCCAGGTGCTACAATGTGGGAAGCAGGGGTCTGAGCTGCCAGACCCAAGGCCTGCCTCTGTGTCACGATTCTTGACATTCAACACGCCCATCTGGGCCATTAGCTTTGACTTCTCCTGGAGGAAGGCTCACGTCCCCCCAGTGTCTGGCATTTGAAACCCCAACTTGTGCTGACTCAGTGCACTGCCCACTCCTCCCCAGTCCAGATCATGTGGCCATGATTGCTGGAGTATGGAGCAGGACCGGAAAGGCAGGTGTTGAACCACACCCTGAAGATGTCAAGAGGAGTGCTCAAAAAAGCAGGCAGCTCAAGATGAGCCATGCCCGCGGGCCACGTCCAGGGCCTGTGTGCAGTTCCTGGCTCGGACACCAAGTCCAGCCTCCTGCCCACGCAGGGAGGCAGTGTGATGGCCCAAGAGACCGCGCTCCTGCCACCCACAGGGGAGCGCTGAGCTGGATGACGGATAGTCGCAGTCATCAGCCAGCAGGTGCCTGCCTGACTGCCCTTCCCACACCACTTCCCACGCTCCTACCCCACCAGAGAAGCCTGCAATGCTGAGATGAGGGCTCTTGTCATTTCAGAGGGTGACAATCGCCCTCTATGACGATGCACTCACATGTTCGAGTGTATGCACAATCCAAGAAGTCCTTCACCAACGGTTTATTTATAGCACAGGGGGTCAGTCACCCACACTACATCACTACAACATACACCCAACACTCAAACCCAATGACCATTTCTTTTCCTTGTAGGATATAATTTACTTTCTGATTGGAGTTCAAATGAATGCACCGTTATTATACCCCTGATACAGTGTAGCTTAAGTTAGACACAACCCAGTTCAAATTCCCACCCTACCATCTACTACAAGTATGACCTCGGACGGTGTTCATAAAAGGCTATTTTCCTCATTAATAAGACAGCTCATAAAAGATTAAATGCAATTCATGCATATCAAGTACCCGAACCACAGTAAGTGCTAAATAAATGTGAGCTACTCACAACAATATTTCCAATTAAAAACGAGGATTTTACTCCTCTGATTCTGAGCATATAAAAACAATCTGATAAGTTAATGGATGGGATGAATGGAAAAATGAACAAAGCTTTTGCACTACTGGTGTTTGCAGGCCGTGTGTAACGGGCTGTGCTGTGAGCTCTTCTGCTCACTGCTGGAGCCCTCTAAGGATAGAAACCTGGTCCTGCTTATCTCTGTGTGCCGCAGTGCTCAACCAAGTACAAAACAGGTGTCTGTCAGATGGAAGGATGGATGGAAGGAAAGAAGGATGGATGGGAGGAAGGAAAAAAGAAGGATGGGAGGAAGGAAGGATGGAAGGAAGACTGGATGTAGGGGAGGGATGATAGAAGGGTTGAAGGAAGGATGGAATAAAAACAGAATGATGGGGCAGGTGTTCAGTGCAGTAGTGACATCACTGCTTGGGCCGCCCGTATCTGATGATCGGGGCCCTGGGTTTGAGTCCTGGCTCCACTTCCGTTCCAGCTTCATGGCGATATGCATCTTGGGAGTCAGCAGGTGCTTGGATGCTTAAGTGCTGGGGTCACTGCCACTCATGAGAGAGACCTGAGTTACGATCTATGCTCCTGGCTTTCATATGGCTCATTTAGGGAGTGAAAACTAGCAGCTGGAAGATCTTTCTCCTCCTGTCTCTGCTTCTGTCTACTTTCTTTTAAAAAATTTTTTATTTATTTTTACTGGAAAGTCAGATATACAGAGAGAAGGAGAGACAGATAGAAAGATCTTTTGTCAGCTGATTCACTCCCCAAGTGGTCACAACAGCCAGAGCTGTGCCGATCTGAAGCCAGGAGCCAGGAGCCTTCTCTGAGTCTCCAACATGGGTGCAGGGTCCCAGGGCCTTGGGCCATCTTAGACTATTTTCCCAGGCCACAATTTGAGAGCTGGATGGGAAGCAGGGTGGCCAGGATTAGAACCGGTACTCAGATGGGATCCTGGTGTGTGCAAGGTGAGTACTTTAGCCACTAGGCTACTGTGCTGGACACTTCTGTCTACATTTCAAAAAAACAACAAACAAAAATTTTGAATAACAGATGGATTAGATAGATGAATAGACAGACTGATGAATGGGGCCCAGTGTGATGGCTCAGTGGCTAAATCCTCGCCTTGCAAGCACTGGGATCCCATATAGGTGCTGGTTCATATCCTGGCTGATCCACTTCCCAGTAAGCTCCCTGTTTGTGGCCTTGGAGGGCAGTCGAGGACGGCCCAGAGTCTTGAGACCCTGCATCCGATTTGGAGATCCAGAAGAAGCTCCTGGCTGCTGGCTTCAGATCAGCTCAGCTAAGGTTGTTGGAGCCACTTAGTGAACCAGTGGTTGGAAATTTTTCTGTATCTTCTCTCTGTATATCTGCCTTTCTAATAAAATATTTAAAAAGGAAGAAAAGGAAAAAAAGACTGATGAATGGATGGATGGGAGGACGGACAGACAGGGCGGACAACGGGAGGAGGATTGGATGGACAGGTGTGTGGACGGAAAAGATCAAAGAACATTGTCATCAACCATAGTGTTGGTTGCCGTTCTAGACATTCCTCGGAGTCACCAGCAGAGAGCGACATGTTCTCAGGGAGAGCCGTGCAGTGGTTGGAGGGGACCAGGAAGGGTTACAGTCCGCAGCTGGGGCCCAAGTGCGTCCCCCAAGTGCACAGATTTTAGTCTGAGGGTGGGCTTATCCTCTGGCTTCAACACTGAGCAAGGTCTCGCCTGTCTCTGTTTACGGTGAGTCTTTAATCAGGGTTTTTATTTTATTTTATTTTTTTTAAAGAGCAAATACCACATTTTGGTTAAGCATTTGGGATCATTCAACACTGCTTCAAAACAGCTCAGAGAAAAAGCTGGAGCCAAAAAAAAAAAAGTGAGGTTTATGGTTCTTTCATGATGCACATGCTTGCTCTGTGGGCTTTTGGAAGATTCCTGTATGCATGGATTTAAATCGATTCGGCACCAGAGGAAACTTCTCTTTTAACCTCCTCTTCCGTGACCTTTCTAAAGTATACTTGTATTTCTTTAAGTCTTGAAGAGAAAGAGGCAGGAGGCACACTGCTGGAGGATGCATCCTTGGCTTTGACTATCTGTGGATTTCCACGTTCTCTGGAAAATTCCACTGCAGAGAAAAGGTCCAGAAGGGCAGGCAGGGCCGGAGCACACGCGGGTGCCTGCTCTCCTGGGTACCCTTGCAGGTCACAGGGCCCACGTGGCCCAGGCTCCTCCAGGGGTTAAGCAGATGCAGCAGGCATGAGGAGGGCCTGGCAGGGGGAAGGGATAACCTGGCTGCTTGTTATATTAAAACCCAGTTTTTATGCCCACAAGGCACCCAGGAGGACGTTCCCACATCCACTTAGCTTTTAGCTAAGTAGTTGAAGCAGTTTCAGGCTTAATTTTCCACCCTTCCTGTTGGTGGAAAAACTCCATTAAGGTAATTGGAGTCACATGAGCCCAGGGACCAGGTAGGTCCTGGATTAGCAAGAAAACGGCGCTAGCTGGGAGAGAATAAGTCAGGAAACCCATGGCCTGCTGGCTTAATTTCTTCCTAGTCTTCCCCCTTGTCAATGCAGAGAGGGATGTGCAGGGGTGAGGTGGGGGAGGGAAAGAAGGGGGATGTGGGAGGGGGCTCACTGCAGTGGGGGCAGGGAGCAGTGGGACTCTGGGGTACAGCCCAGGCTGTCTGAGCTAGGGCTGCACAATGCTGTGCAGGGGCAGGGTGGCGGCCTGCCCTGGCCTCCACTTTCTCTAGTTGAAGACTGATGTCGTTATCTAAACAATAGAGTTAGAGCGGGGAAGAAGCACAGGCAGAGAGAGAATCCTTCCATCTGCTGGTTTATTCCCTAGATGGCTGCAATGGCCAGGGCTGGGTCAGGAGCTTCCTCCATGAGTAGCAGGGGTGCAAGAACTTGGACCATCCTCAGCTGCTTTCCCAGGTGCATTAGACGGAGTTGGATTGGAAGTAGAGCATCCATGATTCAAACTGGCATTCATATGGGATACTGCTGCCGCAGGTAGAGCCTTCACCTGATGTACAACTCCAGCCCCTGGTCCCGTCTCTCTTGTCTCTTCTTCCTTCCTTCTTCTTATTTTTTTTAAGATTTATATATTTTTATTGGAAAGGCAGATTATGGAGAGGAACACAGACAGAGAGGAAGATCTTCCATCTAATGGTTCACTACCCAAGTAGCTGCAATGGCTGAAGTTGAGCCAATCTGAAGCCAGGAGCCAGGAACTTCTTCCGGGTCTCCTGCATGGGTGCAGGGTCCCAAGGCTTTGGGCCTCCTCGACTGCCTTCCCAGGCCACAGGCAGAGAACTAGATGGGAAGCGGAGTGGCTGGGATACAAACTGGTGCCCACATGGGATCCTGGTGGATGCAAGGTGGGAACTTTAGCCACTAGGCCCCTTTCCTTTCTTTCTTTTTTTTTTTTTTAAGACCAATTTATTTGGGCCCAGCGTGGTAACCTAGTGGCTAGTCTGCCTTGAATGTGTGTGGATCCCATGTAGTTACCAGTTCTAATCCTGGCGGTCCTGCTTACCTTCCCACTCCCTGTTTGTGGCCTGGGAAAGCAGTCAGGGATGGCCCAAGGCCTTGGAACCCTGCACCTGTGCGGGAGATCCAGCGGAGGTTCTTGGCTCCTGGCTTCAGATCGGCTCAGCTCAGCTCCAGCTGTTGTGGTCATCTGGGGAGTGGATCAGCAGATGGAAGATCTTCCTCTCTGTCTCTCATCCTCTCTGCATGTCTGATTTTTCACTAAAAAGAATAAATCTTAAAAAAAAAAAAGCAACCCAACTCACTTATTTGAAAGGCAGGATGTGGGGTGGGTGGGGTGAGGGGATATAAGTTGGAGGGGGCTCCTATGCACAGCTTCCCTCCCCAGGTGCCCACAACAGCAGGGGTCGGGCTGGGCCAGAGCCAGGAGCTGGGAACTCAATGCAGGCCATGTATTTGAGTGGCAGAGGGGCCGCAGGCTCCAACTACCATGGAGCCCTCGCTGCTGCTCCCCAGGTCTGTGTTAGCTGGAGTCGCGAACAGAGCTGGCACTCTGACACAGGATGCAGGCGTTCCAGCCAGGCCAAATGCCCACATCTGGGCCCTTCTCTTTAAGGTGAGGTGCCAGCTCTGCAGGGAGGGCTGTGTAGGGCAGAGGGGGCACAGGGAGGGTCTGTGAGGCTGTTGAGGGAGAGGCAGGATGGCTTTGACAAGGCAGCTCCTGCCAATCAACAGACGTGTGCGGGGTGGGTGCTCCTCTCAGCATGTCCCTGGCCTGGGCACCTGTCACAGGTGCTGCTGTGCTCAATCGCTTCAGGGGCGGTGTGGCTAGGGCAGGGTGTCTGTGACAGGCCTGGGGCAGCAGCGGAGGGGATGCTCTCGGGAAGGGGCTCTAGGTGGCTAGTGCCCCCAGGGCAGGGTTCCAGGCTCACTAACCTTCCATTCACACCTGCAGCCTGAGGCGAGCTAGGCAGCTAGCGCCCCCAGGGCAGGATTCCAGGTTCACTAACCTCCCATTCACACCTGCAGCCTGAGGCAAGATCCTGCTCTTGTGAAGTCAAACAGACCAACAAGAGGCTGTCCTTTTCAACATATGAGCACAAAGTTTTTCCTCCAGAAAACCTCTCTTAAAGGGATTCTAAAGAGTGACACTGGCAGGGGTGGTATGGTAAGAGCCACTGCAGTCAGAGCATGTCAGGTAACCCCCCTCCCCCTTCCTGGAAATGCCATAAATGGGGGACAGGGAGGAGCCCTTCCCTTGAGGGTGCTGCAAGAGCCACATCACCTAGGTGTTAGGAAGAACTAGCTGGCATCTGTGCAGAGCGCAAAGGCCAGATGCCTGGATGAGAATGCAGGATAGGCAGTGAACAGTGTGTGCCCCGCACAGAGGGCCGAGCAAGGTTCATGTCCTGCATGCTTGGCCAGTGGACAGGCATGTCAGGCTGGACTCATTCCTTGCATTTTGTATAGGGAAGGTTCCAGCTGCTTTGTGAAGCAGAGGGCTCCATGAGGCATTGCAGAGGGTACTGAGGAAGAAGTGTTGTGTGTCCTGAAACGATTGCAAAGGATGGTCCCATAGGGCAGGGTGGGCGGGGCCACAGAGGGGTGGGGCATCACCTGGACGTTGGAGTCCTGGACCAGGCACAGCTGCTCCTGAATCTTGTGCAGCTCTTCCTGCTGCCACCGGATATTGGCCTGCAGGATCCGTGTCCGCTGCTCCAGCTGGTCTTTGATAGTCTGGAACATGCTGAACTGTGCTGAGAACTGCAAGGTCAGAGAGTCATGCTCACCTGCAGGCTTGTCTTACCTGTGTTTCCACATAGCCCATACGTGCCTCCCTTGCCTGTCCCCTGAATTTCCAAGGAGTCCATGGTCGCAGTGAAGCCCAGGGTTTGACTGCAGGCTGCACCTGAAGCTGGCCTACTACACTGCAAGTCTGGGAGGCCCCCAGCACACAGATGTGACAATTGGAAGTTGTCAAATTGGTCCAGTAAACTAATGACTTAGGGGGAGAGGCTGTTCAAGAGCCCTTGGGTGTCTTCCTGGGACACAGCCATTTCTGGGTCTTCTCCTTACCCCAGTTGGGATCCTGGCTACCCTGGCCGCCTCTCAAGCTCGTTCACTAGGGTGTGGGGCAAGGGTGGAGGGATCACTTGTCAGTCACCCCTAGGTAGCACAGGCAGGGCCTCTTGGGAGGGGCAGTCACAGCCGCCTTGCACAGTGCCCCATCCATGCCTTCCTGGATGGAGGCCAGCTTTAGGAGAATCCTGCAGGTGATCTCCGCCCTACGACGCCTCACAGGAAGTCAGCTCCCTGTGATCACGAGATGGGAGGAGGAACCCCTACTCCCTGGGCTCTCCAGCACCCCCATCTTGAAGACAAATGAGTTTTCTCAGTATTTTGCCCTTTTTTTTCTTTCTGTTCTTTACTTCCCAACACCTTGCCATGACTTTCACCCTTCCTTCTGCTCATCTCTAGCCCATTTCTGTCTTCTTTTGCTGGTATCTCCAGAGTGGCTCTCTGTCTCTTTGCCCACTGCCCTCCCAGACCTGGAAAAGCAGCGGGGAGGGCGAGAGCTCAGGCTGTAAGGCAGGTTGTGCCCAAGATAGGCAGCAATGAGCAAACAAAACAGAACCAGCAGTGGCAGAAACTCCCACATGTCGGGACCCAGGTGGGCCAGCCAGTGCCCTGTGTGAGCAGAGGTGCAGCCAGTCTGCTTCCTGGGAAAGTGACTGTTCTGCTTCTGACCTGCTCCGTGTCACACGGCCACACTGGGCAAGGCCAGCAAGGGAATTCCGAGTCCCAGGAGCGTGTGATGCAAGGCCCTCCTCCCACCCTCTTACCCTTGCCTCAGGATTGCCATCAGACTGCATTTAAAACGCTACTTCCTACGACTTCAAAAACACCCGTGCCGCACCAAACAGACTCCAAGCTGCATTGGAAGGTGTAGTGGGCTGGGGTCTTGAGCAAGCTCTAGCAGGTATGCAGTTTAGAAAAGAAACAAGTAAAAAGCTTCTAGGGTGGGTTCTGCCAAGTTAGGAGTGGCTCAGAGATACACCTGCCACCTCCAGGGGAGACAGTTTGTGGCCACTGAGCTGGTTCCAGCAAGGTGCATGGTCAGTGTCAGCTACTTCTAGCAGGATCCTAATTTTTTCACAGTGTTCCACGCGCCCAGTGGTCAGTCTCTTCTCATCTCCCTGATGGTGGCCTGTCTGGAAAGGAAATGGATCTATGTTCACTTAGGAACATTTCTGAAAGACAGGGGGGGCTTGACTGAGATCGCTTGGCAAACCACCCTGTCAGCTCCCACAGTTTTGATTTCTGTGTGTTTCCTGGAAGGTGGTTTCCTGGATAACCCTGGGGAGTGTGGGGAAAAACAAATCTCAGGGTCTCACTGATTCATTGGAATGAGAACTGTTTGAAAAGATTGTATGGGACCAGGCATGGTAGCCTCGTGGCTAAAACCTTGCCTTGCATGCACCAGGAACCCACATGGGTGCTGGCTTGTATGCTAGCTGCTCCACTTCCTTTCCAGCTCCCTGCTTGCAGCCTGGGAAAGTGGTGGAGGACAGCCCAAATTCTCTGGATCCTGAACCAACGAGGGAGACCTGGAAGACATTCCTGGCTCCTTGATTCTGATGGGCTCAACTCCAGCCATTGTGGCCACTTGGGGAGTGAACCAGTGGATGGAAGATCTTTCCGTCTCTCCTTTTCTCTGTAAATCTGCCTTTCCAATGAAAAATAAATAAATCGTTAAAAAAAGAAAAGTTTGTATAGCACAAGATGTGGAAAGGAACACAGTTTAGCATTAAACATAGAATGTCTAATAAACTAGGAGCAGTTGACTGAATCTCAACAAATGACGCATTAGGTGTTCCATGGCCTTTAGCCACAACATTAGGTACTGATAACACACATGTTCTCTCTTATGTAGGAACCTGAAGCCAAAGCAATTCTCATTTCATCTGCTGGTTAGCTTTCTTTTTTAAACTCACTCATTTCATGCCACATGTGCTTTGGACATTAAGAGAGTATAAAATTATTTTGATGTACACTGTTTCCAGGAGCAGAGCCTGAAGGAGAGGTCTTCACCTCACCAGGCCAGCCTGGCCCCAGCAGGCAGCAAGCACTAGCTCAAAGACAGGAAAACAGGAGTCCCCTGCTAGCAGCAGCAGCCAAGCTCGGGTTCCAACACCCTGTTGGCCACACCCTGGCAAGTGGAACGGCTGGAGAACCATTTCCTGGGACCCGGATCCAGCTCCAGAACTGGGGCTGTCAAAGCTAAAGATCCCAGAGCGAGAGCTCCAGCTTCCCGAGAGGACTGGATGTGGCAGGATGTGACCGCAGATTGGATGACCCATGTCGCCCAGCCTCCCAGGTTCTCTCTTGACTGCCAAGGGCAAGGGCTGTGTTATAATCCTCTTCTGATCCATCCTAGCACCTCACTCATTCTTTGACCCAAATAGTAACCGACTGCATGTTGTTGAAACCAGGAAGGAATTACTCAGCAAAGCTGGATTTTTTTTTAAACAAATGTGATATTTATAGTCCCAGCTTCACAGCTTTTAGATCCTTTCAGAGTCTTCTGACATCTGACCTCATTCAGACCTTTTCTAGAATATCATGGCCAATTCAGAGATGTCAAAAAAGAAAGAAAAAAATGACAGGAACATAGCAAAGTGGCAAAGGGCTGAGCTCAGGGGTCAAAGGATTCAAAAGCAGACCAGAGACGAAAGGATGTGGAGCATGCCTACGGAATACCAGGGTGGAGGCAGGTACGCCTGGAGGGATGACTCGTAACGCCAAGGGCTCCAGCATCCCACACTCACCTGGGCCACGGGGACAGGAGAACTCTGCACTACGGTCTGTGGCAGGAGCTGCTGCGTGATGTCACAGGGTGACGCTGATGGCAGAGGAGCCTGGGGAAGAAAGTGGAGCCTGAGGAACAAACCTGCACCTCTTGGGTGCTTGGGTTAGAGGGTTCTGCAGGCACGCAGTGGGGAGTGGGGAATAGGTCAGAATCAGGACTTCTGGAAGGTACAGGCATCTGATCTGTGGCTGCTCCACTTCCCAGGCAGAGCAGTGACACATGGGCGGAGGGGCCAGACTGCAGTGGACTGGAGCGAGTCCCTGGGACACAGGTGCCTTGATGTCTGCCTGCAGTCTCAAGTTGCCTGCTGCCTGTAGCAGTCTGCAGGGCTGTTCCACTCACCTTTCCTGCCTCACGTGTTATGTTTAGGGCTTGGTGGAGCCGGTGGCTTTTCTCCTGAGTGGATTAATGCCAAGCAGTGTTGTCTAGCCTGAATCCCATCCCCTCAGCCCATCACTAGGCCCACATCCTCATCCAGGACCTCATAATGGCCGTGAAGCCCAGGGCCACTTTGCCTGCCTTTCTGTCTAGGATCCTGAGAGACTCCTGGGGAGTGAGCAGTCACATCTTTGCTTCCTGTTCACTCAGGTGGCTGGAATGGGTGGGGGATGCTTTGCAGAACCCAGAAGGGTGATCCTCTGCTTTACTGGAAGGCTATGGGAGTATTTAAAAGAAAAGTAAGAGGGTGCTTGTGAAGCTATTTCAAAACTGCACCTGCCCCCGAGGCACTAAAAACAGCAACCCAGGGGTGGGTGTTTAGCTTAGTGGTTACAACACCCACATCCTGTGTTGGAACACCTGGATTGCATTCCCAGCTCCAGCTCCTACTTCCAGCTTCCTGTTAATGCTGACAAAGCAGCCAGCGATGATGGCTCCAGGAATGGGGGTCCTGCCACCCACATGGATTAGGTTCCCAGTCATCCAGTTGACCTGGTTCAACCTTGACCACTGCAGACCTTTCAAGGGTATTCATGTCCTTCTCTGCCTCTCAAATCCTAACTTAAAAAGCAGCAAAAATGTGACAGTGTCACCAAGGATGGCACGGGGAGGAAATGGCAACAGGAATCTTGCTTTGCAGAAGCCCCAGGCATGGGGCTAAAGCAGGTCTGGCCTCTGCTACTCAGGTTCCCTGCAGAGCTGGGAGGAATCAGGGGTGCTCTGGCTCCTTCAGCATCTGGTGCATCACCTTGGACTGAAGGAACTCTGGGAGAAGGGCAGGTGGAGCCAACAGGTGCACTTAGAGGTGACTGCAGAGAAAGAGAGTGAGTGGGCTGTTTGGAAATAAAACATGTCCTCATCCTGATTTCCAAGCACAGTGGGCATAACGTCTGGTGGCAGCCAGTGAGATGCAGTGTACTCACTCTGTCTCCAAAGTGCCAGCAAGTAATGGCACACAGCTCCCTGGTGTGTGCCTCCAGATGTGCTCATTCAAGTTCTTGGACCCTTGCACATCTTGCCCTACACGTGTGCTTGGCACTGTTTTGGGCCAAGAAGTTGGGTAGGAATGAGTGACCCTCGGTGACTTCCAAGGTTGGGTCATAGAAGGCTGTGGAGCTTCTAGCTGGCTCTCCAGGGGCTTCCTCTTGGAATCTCTGCTGGAGAAGCCTCACGCATGGTCACGCCTCTGCAGGGCAGCAGACAATGGTCTCTGCTGAGCCTATCCTGCAGCCACCCCAGTCCAGGTGTCATCAGGGATGGGTGTTCTCCATCTGGGGTAGTGAGACAGAAAACAGCCTTCTCCATCATGGCCCTTCTGATTGCTGACCCAGGCTCCAGGGGCATGACTGAGACTTGATGCTGCTAAAGTAGGCAGTGTTTGTTAGGAGGGATCAAATAACCCAGATGTGGAAGTCAGTGCCCATGTACGTTGGCAAGGGTACTTTCCAAGAGGCTGCTCATTCCCTGAGGTTCTGGAGAGGTCTTGGAGCGTGTGAGATATATCATGAGCTGGAGAACAGAGCTGTGTTTCTGTCACTCCCATGGCTCTCCAGTGTCCTCACAGGTGTGAAAACAGGAGCCTCGTGACCACGCACCTGCAGAGACTCTGGAAGGCTGAAGTTTGGAGCTTTATTTAGAAAGTCCACTTGGATTTTTTCTGTCCTAAAGCTATACCACCCAGGTTAATTTTCTCATGAAACTCAACGTAGCTGCCAAATGAGTGATTTAACTGCCTTTCCCCAAGCTCCACCATCCCATTCTCAATCTCTAAGCCAATGTATGGCTCTTGCATCCCCTGGTCCAAGGCAGTATATTGCTGTTGAGAAGTTTGGGGTTGAACACATACGTACCGGCATTGTGGTGGCCTGGCTGGCCCCAGGTCCTGGTAACTCTCGGGGTAGGGTGGTTGATCTTGGCAAAGTAGTGGTGTTGGCCTCTGCCATTAGCTTGGTTGGGGTGGCTATAAGAAAGCAAGGGGTTATCTCCTGATTTAAGTGTGCTTCCCAAAAGAGGGGACCCGTGACTACGGTATGCTGGACACAATGGTTTGGTGGGAGCCTCTGATAAAAAAAATTGCCCAGTCTGGGAGCAGGCAGAAGGTAACACAAGCAACACCCCCATTTCATTTCCACCAGATGGGCGAGCCAGCCCCCTGCCCAATCAGCCACCTCACCAGGGATACTAGGTTATCTGACCCATGCCTCACCCATTCTGTGTCTTTGGTGGTGCAATGGAGAGACTAGAATGAAGAGGGGGATGTTTGGTAGGCGGGGGAAGTCTAGGGAATGGAAACCACAGATGCAAGCTGTGGAAAAACTTCTGTTTCCCAGGCATGGACTGCTCTGACTCCAAGTAGGTCTGGGACTCCTCATGGGGTTCAGTGAGGTCCCCCATGCCATGCAGCATCCACAGAAGGGCACTCACAGTTGGGTTCAGACATGGCCGTGTGCGAAGACTTGTGGGAGCTTCTTGAGGACGCTGATGGAGAGGGGCTGGTGTGAAGGCCGGAGGTGCCCGTGTCCAGTGTGCTGAAGGGCTGCTGTTGTTCCAGGCTGGAGCCCTTGTCCTGCAACACACAGACACAAGGCCTGCGTTGTGGCCCCTAGGTGGTGTGAGGCAATGACACACCCTTGGTTCCAAGGCAGCAGGAAGACTTGGAAGCTGCTGGGACAAACACAGTAGATGTATGGGGACACTCCCACCCACACTCAGCTTGGCACACAAGCATCATCAAGAGGATTGTAACTGATAAGTGGTTGTTCCTTCGCTTTCTCATCTTTTATTTGGAGTTAGATTTTCACAACTGGCTTTGCATTGCATTTTGCTTTTCCCTGGAAATTCTCACCTTGCCACCCAGAGGCCTTGGGCTTCCTAAGAAGAGGGAAAGGGTTGAGTTCTAGAAGCTAGGGTGCTGCCGTAGTAGCTAATCAGCACATCCCAGGAGTCAGACTTCTCTAGATCTTCCTGGGGCTCCTTGCACATGGCTTGCTCTCTGCAAACCTCCTGCCTTCCACGTGCAGCAAGGGCAAAGGCCTGGGGTCTCCCTTCTCGACCTCTGGCTCTGCACTGCTCCTGGCTCCCAGCATGCCTCTGCCTCAAACAAAATAGGCATCCCTGATGGCTGTGACCCAAAGGGACACATTCTCATCTGCCATGGCCTAGGTACAGGGGTCATTTTAATCAAAAGAAGAAAAACAGAGTCTTGTCCTTTCCCATCTTCAGGGAGAAGCTGCTAGAACCTACTGGGCTACGTGCACTGGCTGGTCTATGTCCCATAGATTAGGGTACAAAATGCTTTGTGTGAGTTTACATGGTGGTTCTGCCCATTGTGTGTGTGCAGAAGAAGAGCTGATGTAATTGGAGTGTGACCCACAAGCGGGACCTTGTCCAGAACAGAATTACAGGAAGGGCTCAGAGATGTTGGGACAATGCCAGACATGGTCTCACTGTTCAGTGACAGGGGCCTTTGGACTATGGCTACTGCTGTATGCTGTGTTCCTGCTTCCAGGAGGTGAGTAAGCGCGTAGGCACCCTCACAGCCCATGGGCACCACTGCATGGCCCCTCCAAGCACGGGGATTTACTGGCACTTTACACAAGACTCAAGTGGGGGCAGACACACACACACACACACACACGAAGCCTCATCCTAGATGCTTTCCTTGCAAAGGGGGATTCTGAGTCTGGTACCTGGGCTTGCACTTGTGGATTTTTACAACACTATATTTTTTTTTTATGAGAGGATGTCCTAAGGATTCCCAAAGGAACAGAGACCTTAATGATCAATTTTCCACCGGATGAGATGTTTTATGCCCGTCCTTTGGCCGTGAGATATGGTGAGCCTGACACCTGTGTATTAAGAGCTTAATTATTCCACTTTCTGACATGATGCTTGACAGATTGTGTGACAGGGCTGGGTAATAATCATATCCATGAATGCTGACAGCTGTGTCAGAGAGGGACCGCAGCCACCCATCACCATGGGATGCCCTCACCTGCCTCTGATGGCCAAAGGGGATCTCTGTCCTTGCAGTGCGGTCCTCAGTGGGTGAGAGATGCTTTTGTGGGATCCCAGGGAGCCTGGGGGACTGAGCCCTGGCCACAACCTGAACCAGGAGCCCGGATTCTCAGTCACCGACTGAGAATGGAACTTGAACTCCATCAGTGCTACGGGTCTACTTCAGAAAGTCAGAGGGGAAACATGGGGGGAAAAGATCTGTTTGCTCTGGTGCAAAAAAGTTTGGAAAGCCAAGCAGTTTTTTTTTTTTTCATTTGATGCAAACATTTTCTGTGAGCATTTTAAAGGCTGCTTCTCTCTAGACAAACATAGTTTTCCACTCACATATGAGCATATCTGACGTCAGGCTGTGTCCTCTGCTGGATGAAAAAAAGAGCATTTCACACAGCGACTGGCAGCATTTTCTCTTCCTTAGTGGGAGACAGAATAATGGTGGACTCCGTAGCCTCTTAGCTTGGATGAAGCATAGCACAGCTTTCTTATTCTCTCTCCTTCCTTTCCTTCCCAATCTTTGTGTCTATTTTTAAAATGACCTTTGCAGAATAGGGCTCCAGTTTACTTGCAGATGGTCTCCAAGCTTCCCGTGAGCCGTGAGACAACTGAGGGGTAAAGACTGGGAGGGGTTGGGCTAGAGGGACTCCTAGGAACAGTCCATCCAGCCACAAGATGCTGCCTGAGTTGGGGATGCAGTGCAGCTGCACACAGCTCAGAAAAAGGACAGGGGCACTTGAACTATACCACAGTCCAAAGCATTGAACTAACCGCTCAGCATTTTTCTATGGAAGAAATGCAATGTGACATCATAGGTATCCTCGGGAGGTTCGCCAAAGCCATGCTTTCTGTTCCAGAGATGTGGACTGCTGCTGCCCTGGGAGTCAACCCCTGCATGCTGAAGGACAAGGACCACAACATCCACCCATAGGACTGCCACAAAGAGTGAGTTGGAAAACATAAAAACAACAACAACAAAAACCTACTGTGACCGTGACACAGGTATACCAAGAGCTCCATGTCTATAAGCTGCTCTGCTTTGATTACTACTTTTATGGAGACAACATCCGGAAAGTTCTACCTATTGCCCCCTAGGCAGGGACAAGCTTACCTTTAGTGTTGAGGGGTGCATGGCCTCAGGTGGGTCTTCCAAAGCCAGTTCCTGCCTCCTTTCCACCCGGACATCTGCGTAACTGCTCAGAGAACCAAGAGACCATGATGGATGGGAACATTCCAGGAGGCCAAGGGCTAAGTGAGCTTGCACGACACTGAGGCCTCTTTGTACAACACACACTGCCAGGGCAGTCCATATGAGGGCCCCACGTAGACTGTGACTTGTGTGAGCAAAGTCAACGCTGACTTTCCTGCCGAGGCTTTGCTGGAGGGACATCTGACATCACATGTGCAACCATTCTCCCAAGTGTCACATTCGAAATCTTTTAATGTCCGAGAGTGAAACACTATCATTTATTTGAGAGATACAGAGAGCTAGCGCCCATCTGCTTGTTCACTCCCCAAAAGCCTGCAGTCTCTGGGAGTCAGAACTCCAGCAAGAATGTCCGTGGGCATGATAGGAACCACTTGTGCCATCACCACTGCCTTGCAGGTTCTGCTCTGGCAGGAAGCTGGAGGTGGGGCCAGAAGAACAAACCCAGGCACCACCGTGTGGGACACAGGCTTCCCAATCGGCATCTCCACCTGTGGGCCACACGCCCACCTGGCTAAGATGCTTGGAGTCCCTTCTCCTTCACTATTCTCTGCCTCTCTCAATTCCAAATGCATTTTTTAAAATTTATTTTTGATGATATTTACATAGTTGATGAGGGTGGAAGGACTGAGGGCCAAGGTAAAGTGGGTGAGACCACTGCTTCCAAATTTTTTTTCTTCCTCCTGCATCTGGAGGAAGGGGGAAAATAAGGGGAGAAGCCACACCCAACCTCCCAACCACCCCGGTACCCAGGGAAGAGGAACAGCCACCTGACATCAACCCAGGGTCCCCAGAGTGGAGCATGATCCCTCCAATCATTATTATTTTTTAAATAAAGATACATTTCCATCTACTTTCACATAATTGGAAATCTTCCTGAAAGCCTGCTCAACCTGAACTGCTGAACTGGGATGTTTTTTTTTCCAGGAAATTCATTTATCAGAAAGTTTTCTCTTAGGTAAACTAAGAGCAAGCCCAACCAAGGCAGCAGGTGAGTCTTAGTCTTAGAGACACTGCACCATGACTAAATCGATTCACCCTGTCACTGATGGCACCTCATGTGCAGAGATGAGGCCAGAAAAGGGTCTTTGAGAAGAGATGAGGGCTCCTAGGACTCTGGAACCTTCCCTGCTGGGTCAGTGCTTCCTTCTAAGATGCTGAAGGTGGAGGCTGGGGAGGTCTGTTGGGGTGGCGAGCAGAGCCCAAAGAACAGGTGTAGATGATATCTGTCCTTCCCTTGGGGCAGATGGGTCCTTGGCAAAAATCTCAGCTGGGTGACAGTGGGTCAGGGTTGGGGGATGGTGGTAGTGGTGGGAGGGACTGGCTTGCAGTCAGAAACCACTGGCTGCTTACTGCCCTCCAGGGTGCGCTGAGAACCGACACTAAGGACTGCATGTGGGTAGGAAAGAGAACCAGGGCAGCCATGGGCCCAGAGAAAGGAGCATTTGCCTCTCTCGTCTTGTTCTGCCTGCTTGGGCAGAGAGACGGCTTGTCGCCTCTGCTGAGCTGGGAGTGGGCATCTGTCCATCTCAGTACCTGCATCTGTTATGAATCTGCATACATAGGGGTGTAGGCAACTGCCCCTTGAGATCCAGGGCACTGGCTCCAGGACCCCCTGCGATGCCAGCTCTATGAATGCCCAAGTGCCCTACATGAAATGGCACAGTGTGTGTGAATAATCCACACACACAGCCTCCTATGCTTAAGGCATTTCCAGGTGAATGTGGGGCCCAATACGGGTTGGTAAAGGGCTTTCGCACCGCAGTTTAGGGAGCAATGACAAGAACAGCCCTCAACGCTATGTCCAGCCTCCAACCCCTTCATTTGGGCCTTCAGTGGATTGACCCCTCAGACATGGAACTCAGGGATACAGACAGCCATGTGTAGACAAAATGGGATTCCTGCTGCCCCCTTTCTCTGTTCTTTTCAAAGGCTTGTCTCAGAGCTAGCTCCAAACTGAATCCTTCTGCCTTCTAGAGATTCTGTGTGTATGTGTGTGAAGATGACTTCTCTCCTTCATTGTGGCGAGCTGTGACCCCGCTCAGGTCATATCTATGATTTGCTGGATACACTGCCTCCCTTTGAAATCCTCCCTGTTCCCCAGCCACGGGCTGAGGGGCTCCCCGAGGCCACCAGGGAATCTGCCAGGAGAAAGCTTCTCCTGGGAGCAGTTCATCTGTTCTCGCAACATGCCCTCCGAGGCCAGCAGGCATTTTCAAAGCCTTATCAAAAAAATAAGGGAGAGGATGTGCTTGAGTTACTTAGAGGCAACATTTGAATTTTCTTCTCAAAACAGCAGCTAGGGAAGGCTGGGGGATATAGACGGAGATGAGAGAAAAATATGGAAGTGGGTCAGTGAAGCAGGAACTTACTAAGTCATATCCTGGCAGCTCGAGCACTCCTCTCTTTCTCTCTCGTCTCTCTGCCTGTCTAATAAATTTATTTCACCCATGGAGGGGTCTGGTAGAAAACTTGAAAGAAGTCTGAGCAGGCTGTGCACCTAGAAGGGGGCTGAGCCTGTGGGGTTGTTCCCTTGACCTCAAAGGACTGCCTGGGCTCCAACTACCCAAACAGAGAACACCTGAGCCTCCTGCCGATATGCCTTGGTCATTGGGGGTCTCATTACTCCCTCCCCCAGGCACCGCAAGGACACAGGCCAGGCCCCTCTCCCCAACCCTCCGCAAAATGGTACCTGACCACTGAGTGCGTACACACGATGAACTCGGGCTTGGAGTTCCACTGGTGGTAGGTGATGTAATAGTGCGTCTGCAGCCAAATCCACTGCTGCCCTTTGGTCAGAAACCGGTAGCAACACGACTTGCCTTTGCCAAACTGCATCACTATGGGCAGAGAATGGGTCCTGCATGAAATACGTGCTGACACCCAACCACCTTTTCCCCAAGAGTTACATTTCTGTCCAAGCCAGAAACAGCCAAAACTTGCAAAGCAGCTGAGCTTCTCCAACTGTTTGGGAACATGCATTTATTTCTTTATTAGAGAAAAGAAGAGTGGAGGTTGGGGAGAGAAACACAGACAGAGAGGCCTCCCCTCCATTCACAGGTTGGTTCCCCGTGAATGGCTGTGGTGACTGGAGCTGGGCTAGGCTAGGCTGGTCTGGAGCCATCTGCAGCCTTCTGCCTGCAGGGTTTGCTGCTTCTCCAGTTTTTCTGGGAGCACAAATCACATTGGGATTTGTGACTGAGAAAAAAAAATTACTCTGTGACTCGTAGGCCAATAATTGTACACATCTTGTCCATCCTTCGTGTGCATGTGGCCCTAGCACTGTGCTTTGAGGAGGGGCTAAACGTGTCAGACACGAGTGGATGCACCTGCACCTCAAATTTGTTCCTCCTTCCACAAGAACAGCACAGAAGAGGAAGTTCTAATGGGGACTCCAGGCAAGGCTTCTAGGAGGGAACGGAAAAACAGAATTAAAAGATAAGTTTATCCTGGTGGGATTTTTTTTTGTTTTTTTTAATGCATACAGATGGGGAGCTTCAAAAAGTTTATGCAAAATATATCAACCTCCAGGCCAAAGCTGGAAGGCATGAACTCCCACATGGCTGGCGGGGACTCAGCTTCCCGAACCACCACTTGCCACCTTCTAGGGCATACATCAGTAAGAAGCTGGTAGCAGGAGTGGAGCTGGGATTGGAACCAGGCACTGTAATATGGGGCAGGGATAACTGAACTGGGCCAGTCATTCGTCCTCAGATTTAACTTTTTTTTTTTTAAAGATTTATTTATTTTTATTGGAAAGGCAGATATGCAGAGAGGAAACAGAGGAAGATCTTCCTTCTGATGCTTCACTCCCCAAGCAGACGGCAATGGCTGGAGCTGAGCCAATCCGAAGCCAGGGGCCTCTTCTGGGTTTCCCATGTGGGTGCGGGGTCCCAAGGCTTTGGGCTGTCCTCGACTACTTTCCCAGGCTACAAGCATGGAGCTGGCTGGGAAGTGGAGCTGCTGGGATTAGAACTGGCAACCATATGGGATCCCCGCATATTCAGGGTGAGGACTTTAACTACTATGCTATTGCACCGGGTCCCATACTTAACTTTCATTTCATGTGTTATGAACTCTTTGAAGGACCCTTGTATTACAATATGATGCCAATAATCGATGTATTAGGAGCCACAGGTCATCACTGCAGACGTTGCTCTTTGAAGCTGTAAGAGCTTCACGGAAAAGGGAGCACCAGGTGGCTAGTCGTGGCTCCTCTCACACAGTGCAAACCTAGTAATGTACGTGACTGCATTCCCCCAGAGCATGTGTCCTAACTCCCACAATGTCTGCCACTCTTGTGCAGCAGCTAGCTTCCTTTCCCTTCCAATGGCTAGAGAACGGGTCCTCTTGAACCCCCCCATTATCCCATGTATACCCCTTTTGATGAATGACAACATGGTATGAAGTCACCCCCTTTTAGCTTTTCTGGCAGACGCCATTCTACTGAGCAAGAACGAGGTGCCAACTGGCCTTATGTGCCAAGCTAGTTCAGTGTCTAGCTTGCAGCCGCAGACCCATACCTGTCTGCTGATTAAGGGGCAGCAATGAGGGTTCAGTGTTCTGTCCTTTGAACTGTGTTATATAACAGCAAACCCAAATCCCCAGTAGCAGCTTAGTTTTTCAATTAGGATTAGAGTGTGATCTGGGGGAGTTGACGGGTCCTGGAGGTAAGAGGGGAAGTGTTTGGAGTCAGTGCAGACAAGGGCCTCTGCCATGGCCCCAGGTCACGTCTGAGAACACCAAGTCCTACAGAGAGCCACCAGGACAACAGCAGAAGCACAGCCAGAGCTGGAGGCCCACGCCTGGACGGGACAGGCAGTACTCACAGTGCTGGTGGCACCTGGCCAGGAGCTCCAGGTCGTCGATGTGGTAGTAGTCATAACCCGAGGTGCCCAGCACTTCGAAAGGCAGGTAGCCTATGATGGGAGGGGCTCTGCGGGAGGACAAAGTGGGTGCTCATTGAGGGGGAACCCTCCTCTATGCAGGTGCAGGCTGCTTGGTTAACACCAATCCGCAGATCTCACTTTTCAAGGAAGGCAACTTTGCAACGAGGACAACCAGAGAGGCTGTGATCTCCCAAGGGGTTCTACTGCCTTGGTGTTTTTCAAACCAGTTTTATTTTGAGAAGCAGAGAGAGTGAATTCTCGTCTGCTGGTTCTCGCCCTGAATGCCTCTGACAGTGAGGGCTGAGTCAAGCTGAAGCAAGGATCTGGAAATTCAATCCAGGTCTCCCGTGGAGGAGGGAGGAAGCCAAATGCTTGAGCCATCATCCGCTGTCTGTCACGGGTGCATCTGGGGTCAGGAGCAGCCCTGGAACCAGGCAGCTTCTTCATGGCTACAGCAAATGCCTGCCCCTGCATTGGACCCTCGATCCCTCAGTTAGCCAAGCAGGGAGAATTACAAACATCGTGACCAGTGGATCATTCAATCAATTGGGTCAGCCCAGGGCTGGACGGGCTGGGAGACTGCTAGTTCCCAAACGGTGATGGATGTTACAAAGTACAGAAGGAAAAAAAAAAAAAAGACTGGGGCAAAGGATCAAAGGGGTGGTGGCAGCAGTGAGATGAGTGGTTGCTCACATCTGCTGCCACCTTCCTGTGAGCTGGAAAAAGCCTCAAGTGTGGGTTAGTCACAGGGTGCCGCAGGGCCGGGGGAGCCTGTGACCTAAACACAGGACCCTCTTCCGTGAGTGGCACAGACGCCAGTCAGGGGCCAGCCACCTTGCCCTCGGCCAGCAACTCCTCCTCCTTCCCCCGCACTAGGCTGGCCTTTTCCCTCCCAAGGACAGCCCGGTGCATGCAAGCAACACTTGAAAGGAACCCAACCCAAACATGTTTTTCTTTTTCACAAACCTGTGATCCAGAAATAAAAATTTCCATTCCAAGCTATGCCTTGAAGTGAATTCCTCTAGCGGTTCATCAACTATGCACATTTCCTGTATTGGAAGGCGGGGTGGGGTGGCGGGGGGGGGGAGGAGAAAAAAAGAAGTTGTTTGGGGGTGCCAGACGCTCAGCCCCGGTTTGTTCCAAAGGAGTGTGTGGTAGGTAACAGAAGTTAAAATCATTCGGTGCGAATCTCCGAGGCGTGTTGGACTGGAGCTCATCATCTGAGATAATTTCGGTTGGAGTTGATACTAAATTTATTTCCCAAGCTGGGGAAAAATACCTACGAGCCAAAACGGCACACCACTGCAAGTGTGGGAAACATGTGGAAGATGGCTTTCCAGCTCCGTGTGAACTGCCAATGCCACCGACATGACAGACTCGAGACATCTGAGATTCCCAAAGCCCAGGGACAGCCTTCGTGCCCTTCCCATCCCATCGCGCAGGCAAGGAGAGAGGGAGCACCACACGGGAGGGAGGAGCCTGAGGCTCACACAGGTACTTGCCTTTAAGAACTGTGGTGTTGCCAGACGCACAGTGGCAATGAAGTAGACTCCCTTTCCCAGAGGCACGCGGCACGGCCTTGAGAGGGTGGTGTCGAAGCCATTACAGGAGGGGCTAGGCACTGCCCGGGGGGTCGTGGGATGGAGGAGAAGACACACAGGTTAGCATCACCGGCCCCACCTGGCATTTGCTGTAAGCCAAGCATCATTCCTACAGCTTCATCTGGGGGAACTAGTTTAAGCCAGTGCACGGATGTACCCATTGCCCAGATGAACAAACGGAGGCACAAAGCAATGATATTATTTGCCCAAAGTCAGCTCGCCAGGGGCAGGGCTGGGGTTGGAATCTGTGCTGGTGACCACTATGTGGCTTTGCCTTTCACTCTCTTGTTGGGTTGGGGAAAATAGTCTGTGGTATGAGATGGGCCCAGGCTGCAGGTAGGGCCATGGTGCCTGAAAAGGGTTTCTGATGCCTCATGGACATAGCTCCAGATCCCCCGTTCTACAACGTCAGGCCCTAACATGGCATTCCTAGGGACGCCCAAGTCAAGAGCCCAGGCTGCTGCCAGGGCGGGGACTGGGCTGTTGGGCAGGTGGCCTCAAATGGTCATCTCCACAGGTATAGGATGACCCATTCTGTTGATGGCACAGGTGAGGTGGTCTAACTGTATCCCCATTTTGCAGATGAGGAAATTGAGGCTGTGTCTCCATCATTAGCTGAGGTCTCTTAGAGCAAAAAGAACAAAACAGGGCCCGGCGCGGTGGCGCAAGTGGTTAAGGTCCTCGCCTTGCATGTCCGGGATCCCATATGGGCGCCAGTTCTAATCCCGGCAGCCCCGCTTCCCATCCAGCTCCCTGCCTGTGGCCCGGGAAAGCAGTCGAGAACGGCCTAAAGCTTTGGGACCCTGCACCCGCGTGGGAGACCCGGAAGAGGCTCCTGGCTTTGGATCGGCATAGTATCGGCCTGTTGCGCTCACTTGGGGAGTGAATCATTGGACAGAAGATCTTCCTCTCTGTCTCTCCTCTCTGTATATCCACCTTTCCAATAAAAATAAAAAATAAATCTTTAAAAAAATAAGAACAGAACAGGGTTGCCACTGAGGTCCAGGGTCACCCCCTAGTCCAGGTTTCTAACAGACAAGAGAGAGGACTGCTGTGGTTTAGCCTGACCCGGGCCGAGGTCAGGAGCCCTTCTCCACCTACTGCTTTCTGGGCAGCTGACGGACCTTGTGGCTCCCAGGAGACTTCTGCTATTATTAGGTATAGTTGGCTAGGTGGGGAAAAGAACCCTGCTAAACTCAAGTAGAGGCAGCTTGGCATGCATATGGGATTCTTGGAGCTGGCTTTATACTCGGTTCCCTGGAGGTGTGGCTGCCTGAGCCTAGATCCCCTAATTCAGAACCTCTGCGAGATGGTGGTGCTGGTGGTGTGTGTGGCAACTCCGACAGCCCACAGGCTGTCAGCGAATTGAGGTCCCTGTGGCTGAGAATCTACAGTACCCTTTTCTTTTCAAATGTAACAGGTAACAGTTGGCCCCATGCCCCAAGGGTTCTGCAGCTAGGGAGCCAACCAGGCACAAATCTGAAATATTCCACAAACCATTTTGTCTGTACTGTCCATGTGCAGCTGTCTTTCCTTGCAAGCAATACAGTTCAGCCAAGACTGATCCGGCATTTATATTAGGTATTATAAGTAATCCAGAGATGATTTAAATTCTATGGGAGGGTGTGCACAGGCTCTTTGCAGACGTGACACCACGTTATATAAGGTAGGTGAGTATCCACAGGTTCCAGGGGGTCTCAGGGGTCCTAGGATGAATAAATTCCCCATGGAGACGGGGAGCTGGCTTCCATCCTGGTACATCCTGAACTGGCAGATTTAAACCTTGGCCTCTTTGCCACCATGAACATACAGTGCACCAGAGAACTGAATGCATTATAAAAGCAAATCTGCAAAATTGTCTTGGGATCTTTTGCTTTCCAATCACTTGTCTTTGTTCTATTAATTTTTAGGTTTCTATGTGATTCTGTGATGTGGCCTTCCTGCTGCTAACACATTCATTTGACTCAATCTAATCTTTAGTCACATAAACTACACTAAGAAATGTTTCCAAACAAGAATATAAAGGAGGTAAAATAAAAAAAAGCAGTCTCTTGAGAGTTTATATCTGTCATGAGTTGGCTTCCAGGATCGTAGATTAATTTGTAAGGGTAAGCCAGGAAATTTACTAAGGGAAAGAAAAACAATTCCACATTAGGGAAGGGTTTGCAGCTGTGAACATCTGCATGATTAAAAACAAAGAGACACATTAAAAAATGTCCCAGATGTGAGATGCTTTCTGCTTGATTCTAAGAAAGACAACCCAGCCAGACAATGATCTAATCAAAACCCTCCCAACTCTTGAGAACCTAGACTCAGACCTTTCAAGTGAACTTGGAAGGGCTTGCCAGGAATTGAAGAGAAAGCCTCCTGCTTCTGCTTCATTCTCTCCTCAGCTTGGGTCCTACACCTTCTGCCTGATTTACTGTGAGAAGGAGAAGCAGGCAGGGAGGGCCCATGGGGGTCCCAGGGCTGCTAAGTGAGTGTTTCACAGAACTGAGGGCCGGCTGGCTGCCTCCGGCACTGTTCTGTCCACTCTTGCATAACTTCTAAGACTTAACGATGAACGCACACTCCCCAAAGGGAACGCTTCCTTCTTGCCCGTAGCTGCCCTTGATAAAGACATTTTATAGATGGTCCCAGCATGGAATAGACTGTTCTTTCCAACAAGCTCTTCCCACCTGCAGACCTCCAACAAGCCAGGGCTTGATGCAGGGTAACTGTAAGCCCAGGAAGGATGTTTTAATTGAAGACCAGGGGAAAACCTTGGGGGAAGACCAAAGGGGAGGATGATGCTGTCAGCCTTCCTCCAAACTGACTTTTCCCAGCATGAGCTCCCCTGTGCTTTGTGGATCCATGTGGGAGCCAGGTGCTTCCCAGGACTTCGAAGTCATATTTAGCACTTCGAAGAACTCTCTGGCACTCTGTGTCCCCAGGTAGTTTAAAGGCATTAATTAAGGAATCAATTAGTTGCTTCAATTTAAGTAATAAAAAAAAAGGGACAGCTAATTACAGCTGGCTTCCCGAGCCTCTCTGAAGGATTAAGCACTGCACGTAGGCACGGCCCTGTCTGCTCACATCTCTGACCACTCACCATACAAATAAAAGTGATTCCTTCTTGCAACTTTTTTTTTCCTCTGCCTAGACAGCTTACTCAAATCTGACTCTCCCCCAAAGCTAAGCCAACACTGCTGTCCCCTTTCCTGGCAGCAACTAGATCTTGTTCCGTCTCCAACGTCTAGCAGGTGTCTTGCAAAAAACAGGTGCTCTGTATGGGTCCACAGATGAATTTCTTGAGACAAGCTTGTCCATTTCACATCTAAACCAGACAGCTTCAGGCAGCCTGGGTTGAGAGACGATCCTGTGTGCTTGCCAGTAACCAGTACACAACTGTGGGACATCAGACTGCTTCCTGTCTGTGGCTACACCTGGTGCACTACCTGAGGGCCCCACGGGAGAATGTGGGAGGAGCACAGCTAACACTCTGCCCAGCTCACCACCCTAATGATGCCTGAACGCTGGTGAGGATGAGGCCTGGGCAAGAAGACTTCCTGCACATCAGCATTCATCCATGGCTATCTGTGATGGAAAAATGGCGGATGTGCCTGTCATGGGCTCCTGCTCTGAGAGATGTTGGAGGGTGCTGTGTGGTCATCCCCTTTTGAAACTGGTCCGTGTGTTATCAAATATCAAACCTTGTGTGAACAGTCTGACTTCTGAGATCCTACAAGAGCTCTTCCCTCGGGTTAGTATTCTTGAGATTCCAAGAGTCCCAGGGCTTTCCGGAACCCAGGATGACAAACGTCTGAGACACTTGCCAGCTCCTGAGGATGGCTTCCAAGCAGGTCCCATGACAAAGGGGAGCTCCCAACCAGGATGCCTGTGGCTGCTGGGAGTTCCTCTTGCAAAAGAGGTTGGGAAAGCGGAGAAGAAGCTGTCACCAGGGAACTCTGAGCCTGAATTCACGGCAACAGACTCCTTCACCCGGGATGCACACACTCATCAGGTGTTACAGGCATTACATGAACTAATCCATGGCGAGGCTTGCTCAAGGAACAAAACGATCCAGAAGTCCCCCATCGCCATGAACGTCTGCATGGGTAGGCTCTGCTTTTGGAACATGGGGAGGAGAGTAACTTTATACACATTCACAGGAAATAGTCTCCTCCTGACTGAATACTGTTTTCAGATTCTTTTTCCTTTTCTGTAAGTGGCATGCTTTCCCCCAGGCGTTCTGAGAAGACAGGGGACAGGATGCCAAGCAGAGCAGCAACCTAAGAATCTTGCCTATTTCTGTGTGTTTCTTTTCCACTGCCAGTGCTGCGCAGTACAGGAAAAAGCCGAGAGAGAGACAGACAGAAAGAGAGAGAGAGAGAGAGATGGAGAGAGACAGGTGATAATCTCCAAAAGTACTTGGGGACTTGCTAGAGTGAAAAAAAGTATGTATGGGAGGGCAATTTTGGGCCAATGGTCATTTGGATATTTATACCATTATTCACAAGCCATGCAAAATCATCAACTCAGAGACTAGCCTGCTGTAGGAGCTAGTGTTGGGACACAGTAGGTAAAGCCGCCTCCTGAAACACCAGCCTCCCGTATGTGTGCTGGTAGGAGTCCTGGCAGCTCCATTTCCGATCCAACCCCTTACTAACGTGCCTGAGAGAGCAGTGGGAGATGGCCCAAGTTCTTGGACCCTGTGGCCATGTGCAGTATCTGGAAGAAGTTTCTGGATCCTTAGCAGCCCACCTCAGCCTGTTTTGTCCATCTGGGGATAGCAGATGGAGGATCCTGCTCTCTTCATGTCTCTCTACCTTTCTCTGTAACTCTGGCTTTCAAACCAATAAATAATTTTTTTAAAACAGAGGAAATTAGCCATCTATAGATTTATTGAATTTCAAGTACCACTTCCCAGAGCAGAGCCAGTTTGAAACAGGAATCAGAAACTTCTTCTGGGTCTCCCTGACGGGTGCAGGGGCCCAAGGAATTGGGTCATCCTCCACTGTTTTCCCAGGACTAAGCAGGG